TGCTAGTAAACAAATAAAGATGTTAATTAGGTGCACATGTGAGAAAACATTTAGCACTTAAGATTAAAAAAGTATGAAAAATGTTAATCACAATTTATCCCCACCTGTCATGCAACATTCGTTATTAGCATGTTCACAGTATGTTGAATATAATTGCTAGCGTCATTTAGACAGATATTTGAGTTATATAGGATACAGCTAATATAAAGTATAAAGTCTGCCAAATAAATAATGAACAGAAATAATAAATGACATTTTATTATAGGAGATATTTATTTAGTATTACGTTGAAAAGTAACGTTAAATCATTCATTATATTTTTCGTATAGAGTTGTAATAGAAGGGAAGTCAAGACAAAGAATCACTCATACTTATTAGGCATGAAAGATGCTGCATCTATCTTTTTTTCCTCAAAATATGTGGAATATGTCTTATCGTTATTTACCTTTTAACTGTACACTGTCGTATAAAATGCTATACACTGCGGGAATTACTTTTATTTAGCGAATTAATTTTTTATAACGAATAGGTAAGTCATCTGAACTGGAAATGAACGGCAGAATGAAGAATTAGTGTTGTGAAGTGAAGCGAATAAATTTAGCAATAAATGACTATCTTCTCGTTATAGTAGCATAAACGGTGTGCACTATGAGAAACACTTTGAATTAGATGGTTCATTTCTTACCGAAGAGCTAAGTATTCTCAACTGTAAATCAGCAGTAAAATCATCAATTCGAACATTCAGAGTCGAATCGCTCAAATTGAGTAATAAATTATTCAGGTGTTCATTATAGACTGCATGCTCTAAATAAGAACGCTTTTTTCATGCTCATGTTATGAATGTAATATCTTTATGAAATAGTGAACAAATGTGCTCAAGTTTTGCAACAAAGTAGAAACAGGTCTTTTTTATATATCGATGAATGAATTTTTGAGAAAAGCTGAGAAATGATCGAGTCATGAGGGATAGTATGTAAGCGACTATTACATTTCTATATAAAAGCACTATCGGCAATAAGAATACTAACGCAAAAATTGTTTCTAATTGGAACGCACCGGTAAAAACACATTGAATAACGTTACTCAATGTATTGATCTAAAAGATCCTTTCTCTCAACAAACACTTTCATAGCTGGTATGGATTTGTGTGCTATCTGCAATGTGTGTCGAGTAGAGGATCAACACAAATATGATAACTAATAGAGCTCTGAAACGAAGTGATACAAAATGTGAATGAATGTGTAGGAGTCATGGTTCTACTATATAGTGAGCAGTACAGGTGTTCAGATTTTTTGTTCCACGTTTTTTTAGTAAGAATATGAATGAAGAGTTTTTTACAGTATTATCTTCATGTTTGTGATTAAGATGTAGTTTGATGCATTGTTTTTGTTTAGTTTAAAGCGGCTTATTAGGTTTTACAGTGGGATCCAGGTGTTTTACTTAGTTTTTCCTTTCAGTGGTTATTTACTAGAGTCGAACTGGTTTTAATGAGAATCGAATAGATCCTGCCGTAAATTTAGCTGTTTGCACCAGAAGTACAAAGAAAAGTTATGGAAAGGTGCGAGTTTCTTTTAGGATTGAATGGACAAAGTAATGGTGTCGGGTGCGAGGCGATGGGTTTTAGGTTGTTTCTGACAGTTTTCTAAGAAATTTCAGCTGGATTTCATGTAAATAAATTAGAAGCATAATCAGATTGAAATCAATGATAAAATGAATGATACTCAATTAATATTGTGTAATTTTAATCGATTATAATAAAAAAATAATTAAAAAGGACGATTTTCTTCGATTTCATTCTGATTATTCCTCTAAATTTTTTACATGGCATCTGGTCTGTTTTCAGTGAGAATCAAAGACCGGAATTAACAAACTGGCTTGTGACAGATCGATAGAATTGTACACACCGACTGGTCTACAAGTTTCATCTATTACATATTCTATATGGTTTGTCGAATAAATAGTGCACACAAACAATAAATGTCATTTTATTATAAGAGGTACTCATTTAGTATTACTTTGAAAAGTATAACGTTAAATTATTCTTTACAGTCATCTTATAGAATTGCAACAGAGGGAAGTAAAGACAAAGAATCACTCATATTTATTAGTTATGAAAGATACTAAATCTAACCTTTTCTTTCTCAAAATATTTGAAATATTTCTCATCGTTTCATTGCATTTAACATAGTTTTTTCAATTCCTCGTATTTTTCTTATAGCAAACTTGTTTATTTTATACAACCATACTTCCTCTAAGATTTCTACAGATCTAATGTAGTACATGAGAGCAATTATCTAGTGAATATTATGTTACTTGAGTAAAATCAGCCTCTTTTCATCATATATACACACAAATCTTTATAAGATAATTATTTTTTTTATACTTCTACAGTTTCATACATCTAAATCAGTATACTACAATTTATTCTTGATTGGATATCCATTTTTGGCCTATCGGTCGATTAAGGCTAAGTAAAATTGGTATAGCGTTGAAACAAAAATTGATTGTTAAGCTAATATTCGTAATTGATCTTTTAAATTTTGAAAAAAGTTACCAATAGCATACACTACCTCCTTGTGTCGTTACATTTTCTACAGTGACATAAGTTTATATTAACCATACAAAATATGCTCATGGATACAGTTTGGTTAATTACATAGAAATAGAAAGATTTAATACTGCTTCCGCTCGTAATTATAAAAAAAAGAAGTAATACTTAGCATCGTTCTCGCTTGCATGTTATACACGATAATTAATAATCTAAATCATTCATATTACCACACTAGGAGGGATACTTAATGGCAAACATCGTTAACATTGGCATGTGAAAAAATCACGAGAAGAATACTTCAATGAACAATTTGATGGTCTGAAGTAAGTTATATTGATGACCGATTTTTTCCAAGGGGGAAAAAGCGCTACTTCACTACTTCACTTACTTCAGTCTACTTCACTGATACTTCACCTCTTACTCCAGTCATACTACCACTTTAGTCCCCTTGTACTCCCATTTTACTTCCATGATACTTCATTCTACTCCCGTTTTACTCCCATTTTACTTCCATGATACTTCATTCTACTCCCGTTTTACTTCCAATTTACTTCCATGATACTTCATTCTACTCCCGTTTTACTTCCAATTTACTTCAATTTTACTTCCATGATACTTCATTCTACTCCCGTTTTACTTCTAGTTTACTTCCATGATACTTCACTATACTTCCCCATACCTGGATGCATTACTATTGTACACCTGCATTTCACGATGTTGCAATTCCATCTCATTAAAATAGAACTGAATGTTAGTATTGAATATTTTACAAAATTTTCAGTAAGAAAATATCGATCATTGACTCTTTAAAGCTTTTAAATCATCACTAAATTTGAATGATTTGCGAGAATTGAAAGTATCCTGGGATGTTGCAAAGTAGTTTCGTAGTATCAACCAAAAAGCCTATAGGATAGTTTGAAATACTATGTAGATAATCAAAGCGTACCTGCACTATTAGAATAAAGACGAATCGATTTGATAAGAAAAAAAATTAGTTAAACCGAATGCTCTCCTTTTTATGAAGAATATTCGATTCAGTTTTACCAATAAATCGCTCATATATAAAGTCACGGTCAAACGGAAGTTTGATGCATCCAGTTTTCAAAACAAAGAATATACAGTAGTGACTTGAGAGAATAAACTAAAAGATTTATTGGTCATTGATTTAACATCAGCATATTGATTCTTAAGTCTTCATCGTTGTGTCTCCGTTAACATAGTATTGTGATATCAAGCGTTCTTCAGTTAATGTGGCTGATATTGTTATTGCTCAACATCACTATAGTAGCTTAAAAATTTTGTAATCAATGAATTGCTAAGATCATGATCAGAACTAAAAATAGTTCTAATTCATAATTTATTACGGAGTAATTAAGTTGAAACGATACAATAAAATAAATATGAGGTGAACATTTTAAATATATGAGCAACTATATAGGTCCAAACGAATAAAGCAACTTAGCAACATATAATTTGTAATAAATCCCGTTATTTATAATCTTAAAGTCAAGTTAGTCAGCGCTGTTTTTATGTATGATAAATAGTTTGACGTTTAATAAGTTACTAATATAAAAATAAATACATTCATTTGATTTTTACAAAGAAAATCTACAGGATATACAATAAAAACTCAATTTCTACTTGGACACAAAAATAATCTAATTTAAATGTCTTTTAATTGAACTCGTCGAAGTCGATCATAAGATAAACGAGTCTGTCTGTCTTGTAAGTACCAAGTAGCAGTGGCTTTATGTAAAAACAACATTTTATTGTGAACATTAATTCGAAAATATTTATGTACATTTTTTGCTGAAACTGATTGAATTAGTCGAAGTCCTATAATAAAAAGTAAAGCACAAATGAGAAATTCTAGATGAAAAGAAGGAAATAACTAAAATAGAAATGATTTAGTCATTTGACTCGTTTAAATATAGGGAAATTCTTGTATTATATTCTATGTTGAAATAGTTTTATTTTCTCCTGCTTATTTTTCCAAATGCTTTTAAAATTAGCACACCCACAGAACAGTTAGTAGTATGACATAAGATAAGGGAGTGTTGCTTCCTATTTCGACGAATGACAACAGCTTTTCAATAAAAAAACAATAGCCGTTTTCAACAGTTAAATGTTCATGAACAGTCTTGATTCATACTTGATAGAGTCAACAGACATAACCAATAATACTGTAGTATTTCTTTGGAAATAAAATAAAATTCATATTATGTACTCGTTACACAAATATATATATAGCTCATTCAGTTTGTTTTATTGCGCATAAAAGGAACGTTAATTTCAATTACAGTATCGATTTGAATTTTATTAGTTTTTGCATTCCTTCTTGATTTTACACAAACTACTCATCGTTATTAAACACTTTTATATGAATGATAAGACACAATATTCATCACGTATGCCATCTAAAAAGCATACTAATACTATACTCAATTCTTTACGAAATACCTGAATATGATGTTGTTTGAAGATTTTCAAAACTAGAGGTTGGTTGCAAATCCTCATCAGATGAACAACAATCATGAATATTTTCATTTGATGATCCAATGATATCGTCATCAATACAATCCTCTACATCTCCATCTTCTGCATAATCACTTTTTTTAAAAGAATTTTCATTAATATTATTTTCATAATCACTTTCTGTATGATCTTCTAAGCAATCATCTACACCATCATTTTTATCATCATCTTCATTGCAACCTTCTCCATCACTAGCTTCATATAAAATATCTTCATCACCACCTTCATCTACAACTTCTTCATCACTATCTTCATTGTCACGACTATCGAGAATAATTATTTCAGATTCAGTTAAAGTATTTAGAGTCAAAAGCTTTTCAGCCATTTGCGATGATTCTTCTATTTCGAAAAGATGGTTTTTAATTAAATTTTTGTCCATTCCTACAAATGTCACCATTTGTTGAGCTGCTTCATACGCTTGAGATATTGTTACTTCAATATTATTAGCATTAAAGTCAGCATCTTCATCATTATCATTTTGATTTGCTTCATTGAAAAGTCGTTTGATTTTATGATGAACAGGAAACCTAATTTGTTCATGATGGTTGACTTCTTCACATTGTCTTATTTCTGTTAAAGCATTGAGTTTATTTATTCGTTGTAGAAGTTGTTTCATTGTAAAATTAATTCGAGTAGTATATACACCAGATAACGCACGTGCATCTCTAAAGAGACTTTCACACGGTTGTGATGAGAATAAATGCATGAATTTTGCTACATATTGTGGTATTAACTTTTGTTCAATTAGCAAATATGTATATATAAGATAATGAGCATTTAATTCTATAGATAATAAAGCATTAGATGTAATAAAACAATATTGTTCATTTTTATTGCTATTTTTAATACGTGATTTACGAGTTCGTTTTGTTATATATAACCATATTCTCCATAATCGAATAAAAAATAGTACAACCCATGCATAATAAATACGATTCAATAAAGAAACCTTAGATTGAGTATAAGCAAGAATTAATAAATTTAAAACTAGTAGATAGCTGTACGTGGCTTTACAGTGGTCACTTAGTAATAATAAGTTGAAGACTTTATCATCGGAAATTCGTTGACATGAAGAAAAATTCTGCTTATCACGAACGTTTAAATCTGATTTAGATAAATTATGATCCATTTTATTTTTTGTGTTAATTAGATTATATAGATGCTTGGTGGATACTTTGTATGTGCCCATTTTCAAATTGGCATTTTGTGATAATAAACGGTTGCGCGTTTTGGTGCAAAGATAAGTACCATCTTGCATGAAAAGAAAAATTTGATCAGGATTTAAAAAATACCATGGCCAGTTCGGTATGTTAATCGTAAAATATAATGTATCATTATAGATTGTTAATGTTTGTGTTCTTACAAAGAAATTCGATGTTAACCTCATCGCCCTGAGGTATTTCGGGTCCCCATCAGTAGAGAACCCCAAAACGTGGATGTTTCTCGAATGAAACTCTGCAAATATTATCAGCCATCTTTTCAGAATATCAATGGAACTTATTTTGTTATCTGTGCCATAAGCAGATAAGACAGCTGCTGATGGTGTTCTAGAAAAACTTGCATCAGTAATAGGTTGTAGTACATGTACATTAACTAAATTGGCACGTGGCTGAGTTTCAAGTGCACGTTTGAGTTCTTCAAAAGATTGGCAATCAAAAGCATTTTCAATTGGTTTACCACCATCAATAGGCGTCACAAAACTGTTAAAACAATTTAAAGTTGAATCATATTCAATTCGTGGAATAAAAGCCGAACAATCTTCTGATAAAAAAGCGAATTGACAATCAATAGAATCGAGATAAATTTTGGATTCATCGAATCTGAATTCGGCTTCTGAATATGGATTGATTTTGTAACAATTTTTAACTGTTTCAATCGATGGTAAAAGAAATTTAAAGTTAATACGAATATATTCATATACATAACTCCCAGCTAGTATAAAGAGACCTGCTGCAAATCTTAAAACTGACTTTGGACATCGATAATTGTTAGCCGAACGATGCTTATTAAAATCAATAGTATTCAATAACGCGCATAAAATATCTGAATAATCAATATTAGAGTGCGAAACCTGAATTATTTGAAGCATGAAACAAGGTAAGTATGTCCTAAGTTCGACTTTACTCACGTTTTTTTTAGATAAGGTTATGCTGTTTTTTTTTAATGAATAGGATTCAGATCTCTTTTCATCTTCATCAAGTTTACGCTTTTTAGATTGAGATGAATTTTCTTGCAGCTTCTATAAGTAAAACAATAAAAGATGATATTGAATTGTAGTTTTAGTTCAACATACATATCCTTGTGATGAATCTGAACGTTGATACTTTGAAGTTGAATCAGTTGTTTGTCGTTGTTGATTAGTCGAAAGCTGCTGAAAAAAAGAGATTATTCAATGATGTACACCAGGCCTCGAAATTGGCCCACTTTTTGATGACCCGACCCGGCCCAGAGCGGGCCTTGAGTCCTAATGGCCCACCCGACCCGGAAAAGTTTTAATTTTATGCTAGACCGGCCCGCCCAGTCCGTCAGGCCATTTTTTTAGGGCCCGCCCGGCCCGACTTATTTGACAAGTGCAAAGAAACTTCTTGTTATTAAAATTTATTTGATAAAACATAAGGTTAGTTTAGACTTCAAAGCGCTAAAAAATTATGAAAACGCATTGATGATAAGTGTTTAAGAAAAATTAATATCAGAATAACATGTGACATTTTTTGATGTTTCTAGAAAAATTAACGTTCAACTCGTTGTCGGGCAGCCCGACTTAAATATTTGCCCGGCCCGGGCCAGGCCGGTCCACCAGTCCGGGCGGCCCGTTTCGAGGCCTGATGTACACTATCGTTGTGTGAAACGATTAAAATAATATCACATCGTTACTCTTGACTTTTAATATGACACAAATTATACATGTAAGCAATTTATATTAGATCTTTCTTGAAAAACTATCCCATTATACATAGATATAAGTATATTTAATTTTGAAATGCATCATCGAAAATTCGATGCAGCTATTAATTTTCTTAAAAGATATTAAATCAATTTTTCTAATGTAAATGCACTAGCTGAACTAAGATTTTTTTTCTATATTTTCGATTAATTAGAGGAACGAGTAGAATTATTTTTCTTAATAATAGAAAAACTTGATGATATTACTCTTGTGTACAAAACAACAACCAAACATACTTTTTTTGATTTTATTGAAGAAGTGAATGAAATAGAACTTTGAGTTTCACCTTGTTTAGGTAAAGTATCGTCCGACATGTTTCCATTGTATCTGTTTCGAACAAAAAGTATTCATAGTTCTGAAGTACTACAATCAAGAATGAATTACCGATTATTGTTTCTTTGAGATAAAGAATCATCGTGTTCTTTGTTTTGTGATTCAATACGAATTTTTTATTTTGACTATTAATAATTATTCAACGAGAAACACTTCGATATATAAAAAATAGATTCCAAAGCTTACTTTATTTTACTTGATGCTGCAGTTGATTTATTAATATTACCACTATTTTCACATATATTTGAATCATTCTTATTAATTGATTGATTGGTTTCAGTTCTTAAAATTTGATCATTTGAATCAGTTTGGTGTAGATCTGTTGCTCGATCATCTGGTTCTTCACTTGAATTATTTGTAAACGGCGTTGATACATTTTTAATAAGATTTAAGTGTTTAACAAAATTTGACAGTTGAAAGCGACGATTTCTTAGATAAAGTTTTGTTCGATCACCACATATGCTTTGCATAAAACAAATAGGTATAATAGAATCACTCGTGTTTTCAATAAAAATTTTAAAATCGTTAGATGTTACATTTGCGCAAATAGTACCATGGATTTTTTTGTTCAATTTGTTTAATAACTGTTCAAGAGATTCTTTTAAACATGTAAGATATTGTTCAAAACTAGCTTCACAGTCGCTAGCACTATTGTAACTTGATGATGATGATGATGATGATGATGATGATAGTCTATATATATCAAATTGATTTGATCGTGTTGAATAGGCTAATTGAAGTTTTTTCTTTTAATAATATCTCGAGTTGATTTTAGTAACAAAATAATTTTATTTTTTGTTCCAAATTTCAATGTAATCGAATCTTGACAAATATTACAAATTTCCCTTTTTAAATCAATTCCCTAGTCAACTCTCCCTAGAAGAATCCCCAGGGAGTCCCCTGACAAATCCCCGGGGACTCACGACAGGGACTCCCCAGGGATTTCGTTATTTTACGGGGACTCCCCGGGGAATCGTTGGGGGAGAGTCGATTAGGGTTAATTCATTCGTACAATTTTCATGATTTGGTTTTTCAAATAAATTAATCATTTCTTGCTGATCAACTTGACTCAAAATCGTATAACTGTCAATATCATGATAGCGTAAAATTTTTTCTACCAGTTTTCCGTAATGTTCTTCAATATGTTGAAAAAATCGTTCACCTTTAAGGGTAATTAGCTGTTCTATGTCATTATTATCCATAAAAACTGACTTAATCAAATTCAACAAATGTATAAAGAAATAAAATTTAAAAATTATAAGTCTTTGAAGTATAAACGAACATATTTACTGATGATTGATTTTAGATTTTTGTTTGATAGCTATCTGTCAAAAAATCGTTAGCATCGGACTCAAAACTAATTCGATGAGCGTACATGCAATTATATGTAGGAAAATAGAAAGTGAAATCTAGATGTCGTTCGATGTTAGTTATGATGAATAGGCAGAAAAATAAAAATATTTCTTTACTGTAGCATATTTTGATTTCATTTGTTTGACTCATACAAGTTATGCTTAATGATTCTTAATTCACAACAAATATAATATCGTGTTTTATAGATCATAATGCTCCCTGATGTTTCACATGTCGATACAATAATGATTCTGATTATGTTTAATCTATTAAATAGTAGTAATTACATTTAAAAAAACGGATTCTTTTTTCAAGTTATCTGTTTAAATTTCTTAATAACACAGTATAAATGTACTATTGCGTGCACAATTGATGTTTTTCATTTGTTTTATTATGATATTAAGCACGATATAAGCGACTTTTTCAATCACTTATATAATATTCTTTCTTGAATAACATAAATGAAGTGCTTTATTGGTAGATTTACAAAGTAAAAGTTGTATCAGAAATAATTCGAAATCAGTTGAAAGCATGAAATTTAGCAATTTGATGTAGATTAATTTAATCGTCACGTACAAAAACGAATTTTTGATTCGTTTTTCAGTAACAACTAAACTTTCTTGAAAACAGTTGATCCAATACCACGCAATGTCTTCAAATCGATTGGATTCCCGCGAAATGTAATGAAACAGGCTGTATTAGCAGTAATAACATGATGTATAAGAAAACTGAATATTGTTCGAAGCAAGGTAATGTGAAAGTGACATCGTTATTACTTACATTAATAGATGGTATAATGATCAATTCGATTAGTTAGGTGGAATAAAACATAGCAATCATCATGTAATACAATTTTTCTTTGAAAACGATTATAAATCATATTATATAACATGCTTTTGAAGGATAATATGTTTAAGGAAAACTGAAATGTTAATTTAAGATGCTCTTCGTAGCCCAATGATGAATTATACTATTGCATTTGTACTCAAATCGTACTTCATCATACTTTAATCTTACTCCATCTTACTTCAATCTTACTTCATCTTACTTCAATCTTACTTCAGTCTTACTTCTAGCGTACTTCTATTATACTTCATCGTACTACATCGTACTTCTATCATACTTCCATCGTAAATCTTTCATACTTCCATCATACTTCAAATACTTCTGAAGTAAATGAAGTAGCGCTTTTTCCCCCTTGATTTTCTCACATGTTTGCTAAAATTGTAAAATGATAATAACTATCGTAATCAAACCAGTTCAATTAATAATCATTGAGATCGACTAAAAAAAACTCATGAATGAACAAAAATAATAACGATGAATTCTAACATGAGAAAAAATTCCAAAAGATCAATTGCTTTTGACCTCATATTTTAGAAATATGGAGAGCAAATCTAGAATAATTAGAGTAACTGCGAACGTTTTTCGGTGTATATAAAGCTTCTTTTACAAAAGGTACAATCTTTTGATAAAATTCTAGTGTAAGACAAAACATTAAAAGTATAGTTAAAAAAAGAGGACAATTTTCACCAACGAACTTGCTTTAAAGTTTTTTACCTTTTCTTTCAACACAACTCACGTAAGGCATACATCACCTTTCAAACGAACGTCTGTTAATAGAAATTAATAGCTGATGTAATATGTGGTCGCTGGCATCAATATTCTCTTCTCTCACATCCTCATCTAAAAGAATTGCAAGCTGATTTGAAGATGTTGGCGAGCGTAGCGTCTCAAAAGAGATAGTTTTAAAAAACTAATAGCTACTTAATGCTTTCATAGCTACTTGATTATGTTACAGCTGCTTCCAACTTTACTATAATTATTCAAAGATCATGTATTTCTTGAAAGCTCCTGTACTTCTTTAAAGTTCCTACATCAATTAAAAAACCATCTCTGCCATATTACAAACGAGAGACAAACCTTATTAATATGTTTTCATGCATTTTCCCAAAAAAGCCTGTAACGTACCTCTTCCTCGTTTATATCATTAATATTCCCGATATCATAAATATTTGAATATTCTAATGAACCAAATACAGATTCACATTATGAGTGCAAATTGTTTTATTTGAATCTGTCTGAGAAACACTATGATGAACCTCAGTAATAAAAAACAACATCAAATCATGAACATTTGAAAGTAACCAGAAATCTAATAGAAATTCAAGTTTCAAGCATTTCGAGTATTTCACCGTCAACTGAATATTAAACGAACATTAAAACTACTTAAATCTTCACTTTTTCTTTCACACACCCTTACCAACCACCCGTGCTCCTTTATATCACTAGTAATGTCAGTATCATAAATATTTGATTATTCTCATGAACTCTATATAGATCAAGGGGGAAACAGCTGATTTTTTTGATTTAAATCAAAGATGAAAATCAGAAAAATCAAAAATATCAATGGATATAATGTCTTATTTTCGTTTCTTTTCCCCTGTATATCAATTATTTCATAGTAATTTTCAACAGTCTACTCTTACTCACGCCAACACCCACACTCTTAAGTCAGTCACTACCAGGACTTATATTTTCGAGATTTATTTCGAGCTTTCAATAAGCTCCAGTGCAAGTAGCCCCTCCGCACCCTCTCGCTTTACAAAATATTAAGTTTTATTTTTCGATCTGGGTGTGTTTAGTTTTTTATTTGATACATGATTGTATATTCTAGGAAACAATTCAAGAACTTTACTCTGCATATTATTGGAAATTAAAAGAATTTCTCTCTCGCTTGTCTTCAATGGTTTTATTGTTCCATCGCGGGACGCTTACTATCAAAATCATATGTTTATATTTGATAGCACTTTCTGTTATTTCTGTTACATTAATAAAAGTTTTTCGTGAATACTGTAAGTATTTTTATACTATTTATTTTCTAATGCTATGTCGTCTAAATTTTACGCACACTCCAATATTAGTCTATCATATTTATATTGTTGTAGCGCCATTATCTTCTCCTTATTATATTTTCTTCGCAAAATCCAACAAATTATGCCTAAAGCAGACTTGCGACAACCGCTCATTTATATTCTCTGTCAACAAACTATTATTGAATTTGAGTTTTTCTATCGATCGAATTTATCATCATAATGGAATTGCTTATGATTACTATTCAAGAAATGATATTGAACAAGCACGAGTTGGCGATCAATGGAAACTTTGGCCCCTCCCTAATGAAATATATCAAATTCAAAAAAATAGTGCGATGAATGATATCGAAACTTCGCCATTTGTTCCGTCAAAACTTCTGTTTGTTGATACAATTTATGTTATGACCGATCCGCGTTTGACTGAACGGCATGCTAATCTGAAAAAAGCGCTTAGTCAACAAGGTATTTCAGTTAAATCAATAGAATGGAGAATGAAATGGAATCTAACAACATGCAACTCTATCTCAAGTCATTCATATGTTTATAAACGATTAAATTTGAAAAACAAGCCTTTAAGTAATTATATATATATATATATATGTCGATAGGACACATCATATTTCTTAAACATTCAGATATATTCTGTTTTGTTGTTATCCTGATGCAAAATCATTTTTGATTATTTTCTCTTAATTGATATATTGTTTTAGGTTGAGGGGGACTTATTGTTATGGTTTTTGTAGTTCAACTGAAAAATTTTAGAGTTAAAACGAAGCTATTGAATGCAAGATTATATTTTGGGAATATTTCCTTATATGTGTAATTAATTTTATGTTTAGACAAACAACAGCAACGAAAATGTGCTTTAGCAATGAAACATGTCGATGTTTGGTACGAAATGGCTGAACGAAAAATTCCGTTAGGTTTAATTCTTGAAGATGATGCTATATTTGTACCATTCTTCAAAGAGAAATTTGCTCGAATGATTTATACAGCTATTCAAAGTAAAGCATTACGTATTAATGGAACATGTGCTAAATCAAAAGAACGTCCTATATCAGATAATGAGTGGATAGATCAGAATCCAATGATTGTTATCGGAACATGTTTTAACTTGCATGGACAATGTTTTCAGAAACATTTTTCAAATGCTCCACCACTTTTGTCAACACATAAATCAAATCCATCACGATGCACTCATGCTTATTTATTAACATCATGTTCAGCACAAGCATTAGTTAATCAAATTCAAGCACAAAAGAATGATTTTTGGCCATCAGATTTTATGCAAAATATGTTATTTCCTTTATCATCGACACTTCAATCCTTTTGGATGGATCCACCACTCGCTTATCAAGGAAATCAAGTATTGGATCTTGACAATCTGTCATCGTTTAGAGAACAAACTTATATGTCAAATCGATAAATCATTTGCAAAACTGTTAAACGTAATATCGTATTCATGAACTACATGCTGTTAAATAAAATAACACTCTAGGATAGTGAAATAACACGATATCAATCGTCGATTAAAGAGATAAAATTACGTATAAGCTAGTAAATCTCTAGAAAAGAAAGTTGCCATCACGCATATCTATGAAAGTTTAATCGATTGTCATGCCAATGAATACGATAAAGGATGAACACTATTTGATAAAAGTGAAAAGGGGTGTATAACAAAGATGTTCGAGTGTGATTCAGCGAAAGTGAACAGAAGACAACCACAAGCACTCAAATATCTAAAGCTCTTCAAAACACAAGGTAAACAATGAACATCAACGTGACGAGCACTGCCAAAGTAGTTCCATAGTAATATAAACTGAACTGAGTCTGTCAATGAAAGAGTTGTAATCGGTTGTCTCAAAGATAGATGTTATAAGCTATTGAATAATTGAGAATCAGAGCAAAGTTCCCAAGTGAGCAAAAGACTGGTTAAATGACTAGTATTTTTTCTAGTCAAGTCGACCGGTTCCGTCTAGTCTTTGTCTCAAAAACTACTCGTCCGCGACTAGTCCGAGTTTTTATCCGTCATGCATACGCGTCCTAGTACTCTGATTGACGACTAGTCATAAAATCTAATAAGCGTAGTTGTGGCGAGTGTCCCTGTCGCCCGTCCGGAAATGGTTTATGAATGAAATATTAAGGGCGTCTGGGACGAGTATACAACCAACTGGAGCAAGGGGGAAAAGGTGATTTATGATTTTGTGATTTAAGGTGATTTATTTGATTTGAGGTGAGTTTTTTGATTTAAAGTGATTTATTTGATTTAATTTTGATTTTTAGCTGAGTTAAATCAGCTTTTCCCCCCTTGAGCATAATAGTATTATATGAAAAGATTTAGATGCTTCTCAATTATTTTAAATTTAGTACATCTCACATTTTGAAAAAAAAATATAAATTAGCACTCCTAGATACGAGATGAATTTTGTTGTTAGTGCTAATCCCTACATATTTTATGTTTTGATACACTCTTAAACTTTTAGCATATGCTAATGCAAAATAAAATAAAATATATCAAGACAGGGATGCACGCAATATATTAAATCTTTTCGAATGCACTATTGATTACAGCAGACTTTCTAATTGCTCTTCTAGGTAGAAAAACTTCGATAAGCATTTAGTAAAATAAACACTTCTTAAAAACGGACTAGTCATGAGGTGCCCAAAAGATGTTTCAGACTAGTCAATACCATTTACGTCGGCTTGTTTCTCATTTTCTATGCATGGATGCGAATCAATATATAAGTTTAGACTATATATACTTACGGCAGTCTATTTCAGTATCCTAGTCTCCCGTCAGGATGTCCGTCATATCTCGAACACTGTCGGGCTGGATGTTCAAATCCACTGTGTAACCTCTTTTTTTAATCTTCTGACTAGTCTGGACTGGGCCAACAGGCAACACAAACTAGACACGACTGAGCTCAAAGACATTTCAGACTAGTACAGACGTGTTTGTAAGACACTCCTCGTTAAGCTGACTAGACAAGACGGGTATGCAAGACGTTTCAGACTAGACTTGACGGAAGCTGCGGATATTTATGACTAGTCATGTCGGCAGTCTCCCTTCATTTTTTGCTTACTTGGGTACTACTGTCGATTTGACGTGTACAACTGATACCACTTTCACGTCCATAACTTGTTACCTGTGGAAGTCAATTTAGATATTCTGTTGTTTCATAGGATTATTAACTAACAAGAGAGAAAGAGAGAGAGAATTCAACCCTTTCATACATACATCATTCTATTTCGATTCCAATAGGAAATTAGATTTTGTAACAATTGCCAAAGGTTGTTAAACATTCAAAGATTTAAGTGTAATGATTTACTTACACATTAGTATATTCTAAAGTGTATCGGTTGATGCATCATCCGTACGTTTTTCATCTAGAACACTTGAAAGAAAGTCTCTCTCGTCATTATCATCAAGTTGACATTGAACAATTGAGATAGAGCTAATGAAAAGCAAGCCAGTCAAACAGATAATCCACCAATACATTTTGCAGTCACTTAAGTAATATACATATGTAATATGAAAACTATTATTTTACTTTGATACCATGTGATGCTTATTACCTATCAAAACAAGAGACGTCATCATCACTTTCGAATGTATTTAAATTTTGATATGTTTCATGAATAAGTTGATCGTTGTATACGACTTGCAAGATAATAAAAATATCTTGATTAGTCTCTATCAGTAACGGATGAAAAAGCAATTGCTACTAATTCAAAACAATTCGTAACTGAATCTGTTTTATCCTTTTTAGGTGTTACTCTTGCATAGCTTAAATCTATTTACGTGGTAACTTGAAGAATAACTTCTTCTTTTAAAAATTCAATAAGTACAGTTCTTATCTACAATCTGAAGGTCTGCAAATAGGTCAGTGAAGAAGATGTTTTGAATGAAAGTTATAATCAAGAAAGTAAAAATCTGCTTTCTCCGTCTAATGCCAACTTTCTCTCGTTATTTTCAAAACAAAATTTGAGCCTCCCCTAAATTAGAAACGTTCCGCCGCATGTGATTCCTGTAAACAATGGCCAACGTCATATGACAATTAGATCTTCTCAATTAATTGCCTTCATTTCATTGCTCATGTGCTCACTTTGATTTCTATATATTGCAATATATCATTCATCCAACAAGAAAATTCTGTATCCGACAATATAGACATAGAACAACGATCAGAGCGTTTGTCGGACTGACGATATCAATCCGAAAAGATCTTAATGATTCTTCTCATCAAACATTGACTTTATCTTACCCTACTTTTCTCTTCACTTTGAGAACACAGACAATGTCTTAAGAGTTTATCATCGATGATGATGATGATGCAGAACATAGGCGGCGGAACGTTTTGAATTTAGGGGAGACTCAAATTTTTTTTAACGAACGATAAAAAGTCGATATTTGGAGAGAAGATAGACTTTTAAAATTCGTTGTCACAACTTTAATTGGAAATGTTTTCTGTATTGATCCATTTATATGGCTGCAGAACAATCGAAAATTCTGTTCCTAGTCAAGAATCACTTAACGCATCCCCAGAGTCCCCACCAATTTTGGATTTTTTAGAAGGGTCTGTCATGAGTTCCGAGGAGTTAAGAAAAATATGAAAAATTTCTATCGAGACTATCAAAAATCTACGTAAAAATCCGAAAGTGTCTTCGAAAATTTGTAAAAGGTTTCTAAAAACTGAGTGGAAAGTGTCTTAGAAATTCCAAGAAACTCTCTGTTCACTTCTCGAGATTTCTATGACACTTTCCAGTCATTTTTTAGAAATCCCTTACGAATTTTCGAAGATACTTTCGAATTTTTACTTAGGTTCTTGATAGTCTCGATAGAAAGCTTTCAAATTTTTCTTAACTCGTCGAGGACTCACGACAAGGACTGTCTGGGGATTCATTAGGCGATTCTCGGCTAGGAACTATTCTATCAAAATTTTTATTTCCTTATCAACATAAGCATAAAAAATCTTAAACTTTGACTAAAGCAAACATATCATAAGTACAAAAACTATTGTTCATACCCAGTAACGTCTTTTCTCTAGTTTTTTGCAATACACTCAGAACAAATGCTCTTCATGTCTAACTGATCTAGTTTCCCTTAATGAATATGAGAAATAAAGGCATGATTAAAGCGTTGTTGTGTCATTATTGATCGTAGATGTCTTTATTCCATTTATAACGCTGAAGCATCTCTGAGCCGTAGCCGTTGAAGTGAGATTTGTTAACTATAAATGCAATAATTTACAATATTCATGAAACAGATTTCCTAATATATTTTAAGTTAAGTAAATCACGACGAAATCTGTATTCTTTTCAAATATCTGAACCTCCCCAAGCCTAATGGCTCCGCCGCCTATGGCTCGAGAAGATTCGATTGATTGCTCGCTCTAGGCTCTTTTCAAAGATGCAATATTTATGCGATCTTTTATTTCGAAAATATATTAGACGTACGTTTGTAGAAAATATCGTGACTTGGCAGAACAGATATCATAGAACTATCTTGAGCTGTCAACATTCAAACAAATGTGTTGTGCTCGAGTGTCGATCAAAATAGTAATGAAGCATTTGTTGATTACAAATCAAAAGTAGAAATATCGAAAAAACACACCCACACCCACACCCATCGGTGTGGATGTGTTCTCATTTTCCGTTTAGCAAACATCCACACCCTTTCAAGACTCAACGACCTCTGTTTGGATAAATTTATTAAATCCCGAATTCAAAAACATACTTTATAGATATTTTTTTTCTTTATACATGTATAAATATAATATAATAGAAATAATGGATGATAATTATTAAAAACAAATAAAATTAACTAAACAAAAGAAAGAAAATTTTTCTTTCTTTAAAAAGGAGATTCAATAATGGATTAATATTTTCTGATAAAAAATAAGTTAAACTAATATTATCTTGTTGAATTTAACCAACGCTATAGAATTCAAAAAAGAAAATAAATTTCAATAAAATTCAGTTGAAGTAAAGTAATTTACCGATTGACGAAGTTTTTCCTCTTCTATTATTAATGATTTTTCACTCTCGTTATACCGAAGAACAGCACAGATGACTTTTGCCATTGTCTAAGAAAATAAATTTTCGTTTTCATAATTCTGAAATAATTTCAACATACTAATCGATCAGTTCCTGTCATATAAGCAAGTACAATTTGTTTTAAATAATCAACTTCTGTTGGTTCGATTACGAATGGATGCTGTATATCATTTGAATATAAATCTAAATAAAATTCTGTAAAAACAAGAGAATAGATCTATGCTTATGATTCTACCTTCGATCGAAGTTTGAGAGAATTGTTCGATGGTTCTATCAAAAACCAAAAACAGAAGTGAGTACATCGCGTGAAAATTTATTTTGATAATTACTTACGGAATGATCTGTTTCGTAAGTTTATGAATTTCAATTTGTAGATCTTGTATATGTCGATAATAATCTAATTGTTTCTCCTATGAGATTATGTTTATTTGTTTTAATTGAATAAAAATATAACAAACTTTAATTTGTTCTTGTAATTTCGATATTTGTTCTTCACTGATATAAGCTCTACGTTCAGCATCATTTATTCTTCTCTCAGCACTATTTGTAAGATCATTTTCAACTTTAGCTTTCTTCTCTAATAATTAAAATAGAAGATAATACGGTACGATCCTTTTGTTTATGCTATTCTAAATTTACGTATAAGATCATGAATTTTTTGATTGTAATTGTATTCATTTTCTTCGATTTTACTACTCATTTCTTTTGCCATGATTTTTAATTTTGTATTATATTCCATTTCGTTTTCTTTTAATCGTTGTTCATATTCTTGAGAAATGACTTGTATTTGATTTTCTGAATAAAAAAACGAGTCTGAAAATAAATAAACAAATCATTATACCTGAATCAACAGCATTTGGTTGTTCATTATTCTTTATCGATCCCTTTGTTCGTTGTAACGCTTCACGTAGTTTAGTGGCTCGTTCTTTTGTTTGTTTAAGAGTTAATTCAATTTCTTGAATTTTTTCATCACGTTCTGTTATTTGTCGATCTTTTTCACTAATATCTTGTTCAAAATCGAATTTTTCATTTTCATATTGATCTATTCGACGAATATTTTCTTCGTTGATATTTACCAAAGAGATTATTTCAGTTTTTAATGTTTCAATTTCATTTCGATAAGAATCACAGTCAGTCTAGTAAAGAAAAACTGCTGATCAATCATGCCTATACGCATTAGTTTTCAGTGATAGGACATCGGGACTACTAATGATTTGTTTCATAAGAATAGATTTAAGATCGAAAGTTAGGTGACTCGAAGAGTTTCAGTTTTAATTTTCTTTGTCTTCGCACTGTTTTTTTTGTAAATGACAAACCTCTAAGTCTTTGATTTGTTGTCCAGTTTGTTGAAATTTAACATTGAATTCGTTTGAATTTGATTGTATAGTTTCCATTTGTATACGAATTTGATCTATTTCATTTTTAAGACTAGTTTTCTCCGATAAAGTACTATTGAGTTTAGCTTCCATTGCAGAAAATGTTTCATTTTTTTCATTAATTTCAGAATTTAAATTTAGCAGTTGTTCATGAAGATCTTCAACTGTTCGTTTATGTTCTTCATGCAATTTCTCAATTTGTAATTCATAATCTTGTTTGAGTGTATCAATCTAAATAATAGAACAAGACTAGTTGATTTTGAAAGATAGGAATCAGATGAATAATCCACTGTCGTATGAGCGAAATAGTGTCGTCATGGTTGACAGTAGTTATTCTTTCGTTTGACTCTATCATCGTCTCTTCTAATTAATGTAAGTATTGAAAAATCTCGAAAACGAAGAATATACCATTTTATCTTTCTGTTCTAATAGCTGTCGATCATTGCTTTGAGAGTTATCAATAGTTTGTTGCAATTGTTCATGTTCTGTAATCGTTGTTTTGAATTCATCCATTGAATTGTTAAGACTAATGATCTCGAGTTGTTTTTCAATGTTTTTCCTATGTAAAATCTCATCTTGTAATTGTTGAGTTGCAATACGAAGTTTTTCTTCTAATTCTGTTAATTGTTCATTTTTTTGGGTATTGGATTCGGAAATATGTTGGTATTGTTCTTTTAACGAATTACATTCGTCGACTAGTTCTTTTTGAGATAGATTGGCTTGAGATTTCAATGTTTCTAATTGTTTTTCAAGCTCAATAAGTTGAGAAGATTTTTCGTTCAATTCTTGTTCGTGGCGATTCGATTTATTCTTTTGTTCATCAGTTTGTTTGGTTAAATCAGTTATTTTATCTTGTGCTCGTTTAGCTGCAGCTGTAAGTTCATTTTCAAGTGCTTCAATTGTTTTCTTATGTTGACTTTCCAGCTGTTCTATTTTTATTTCAAGATAATCCTTTTCTTCTCGTAATTCTTTTAAATTATTATCGAATTCAATTTGTTGTTGACTCTTGAGAGTAGCCATTTCGTCTAAATGTTCTTGACGTTGGCAATCAAGTTTTTGACTAAAACTAGCTTTTGCCTCATTGATATCATCAACTAGGAAGAAAAAGAAGAAAACCTGGATACGTATAGAATAAAAAACAGCAAGATATCAGCTTTTTTACTATAATCTTTCTGAAGAACTCTACTCCGTTAAACAAGTCAATATTTTAAAGTTTGTATACGGAGACATCGATACAAAATTCACTACTGGGTATATAAAAACTCACCTGTATTTTGATTTTGTTGTATTTCTAAATCTTTATCAATCGTTCGTTCTTGAAGTGCATCGCTAAGTAACGATTGAATACTGTCTTTTGCCTGTTTTGTTTGTTGTAATTCATTTGTTAAGTTTTCATATTCAGTTTTAAGAGCATCAAGAGATTTTGTATGTTGTTCATTTTCTTTCGATAGAGTATCTTTGAGTATGTCAATTTGTTGTTTATCTTTATCAATTGTTTCTTGACAATTTTTAATAAAATCTTGTAATTCTTTATTGGATATTTCAAGAGTCAATTTATCATTTATTATTTGTTCCAAATGACTAGATTTTTCATTAAACTCCGCCAATAAATCTTCATGTTTCTGTTTAATTTCATCATTCGAATTAAATGTGACACTTTGTTGTTTGATTGATTCGAGATCAGTTTCAAGTTGTCGAACACACAAACGTGTTGCTTCTAATTCTTCTTGTAATCGTTCTTTATCTTTTAATAACACACTTGTGTCACAATCGAAATTTTCTTTAACTTGAATTGAACTCTCTTCTGGTTGACGATCCTATGAGGAAAAGAAAAAAGTACTGAGTTTAAAGTTTTTGATTCAGTCCATGAAAATGTGAATTTCTATCACTTGACGTCACAAATATACAAGACATACTACATGCGTCAAATGCATAAATATTTTTTATGTTGGAATTAGCCTGTAAACATAGATATATTAGAAATGTGTTCTCTTGTTTTTAATATTTTTCCTTTCAGATAATGAGAACAATAAATGAAATAGAAAATCTAAACATACTTTCATCATTGATTCAATCAATGTTTGTTTTTCATTTAATTTTTCAAAAAGATCATCACGTTCTGTAACGACTTTAAGATGTTTTTCTTGATGATTTTTAATTGCTTCTTTACATTGAGTGAGTAATGTTTCAAGTTTAGTATTCTATTGAAAAAGAAAAGAAAAGAAAACACATCATCAATCAAATTTTATGAATAGAGACAAAAAAATTGATTCGATGCCAAAATGTCATATTGTGAATTAAGTGTATTTCTTTTATATCCTTTTCATCAAACACTATTCTAATTCGATCTTCGAACTCTCTCTAGCAATCCATCCGCTACAGCATATCCTTCATATACCAACAAGATAATACTGTAGTTACGTCTATCATATGTTAGGTATCAGATTGCACCCGATATCGATTACTTCTTTCGAAAAACAATTTCACCCTTATGTTTGACTTTGGAATAACCGAAACAGACCTTTTCACGAAGATTTCGCATTTCTTCTCGATCAACTTGAACATGATCATTTGTAGTTCTAACTTGTTGAGTCAGTTCTTGAATTTTATTATCACGTAATGATATTTCTTGTTTATATGAACGTTCAAGTTCTTCTTTGACTTGCCGATCAATTTTAATTTGTTCACGTAATTTTGTTTGTCGTTTAATCGATGTGTCTTGATGTTGCTGTAGTATATTCTAAAATTAAAACGAAAATAAGCTTTTTTTTATTGCTTTCTACGCTTCTACTTTAATATTATCTCTTTCACGTTCAACTTCATCATAAGCATTTTTCAATTGAATAAATTTAGTTTTGTAAATATTGACTAATCTTTGCATTTTCTATAAAAATACAAATACAAATCGACGATGATTCATCAATACACAATAGATAACGAAATACACTTACACTATTTGTTTCATGATCACTTTCATCACCACCATGTTCTGATTCGATATCTGATGGTGGTACAAAACTACGTGCCGGAGAGACATAATTGTTATTCGCACTAGCCGTTTGGCTTATGTCACTTGCAGCTGAATTTAATCGAGAACGATTATGGTCCTTGAAAAATAAAACAACAATGTATTACAAATGAAAAGTGAAGATTTGTTTTTTCTATTACGAAATTATCGTTATGACTAGTAGTCGAAGATGTACGAGCGCCAGAATCTTTTGATATTGATGCCTAATGATAGGAATATTAAAGCAAACAGATATATTATTATTGTTAATAACAGTTCCTATGAACATACTGGATCAGTTTGTAGAATACTTGAAAGTATTGTTTGATTTGTTTTATTGACTTGTGTAGCTATTTTATCTTTCAAATTTTTAAACATTGTCGAACCAAATGACATGGATCAATGCAGGAAAATTAAATGAATATCTTTCTTTCTTTTCGTGATGATACGTCTATAGGTTCTATTAGATTTATGCCAAATAGAGGGCGCTGAAGATCACTGCTTAGTTTATTTAAAAACTTCGAAGTGTACAACCAAATCTATAGATTAGTGTGACATCTATCGACAAAATGTCTTATTCTCCAATAAAATTAATAAACAAGTTGAAACAGCTGTATTGATTAACATACATTATTATTGTGTATATGCAACAATAAAATGCTATCAAATGACAATGAAACATTTCTAAATGAATATAATTCATCTATAGAATCCCATTCATCTGAATTGAATTCTCTATCGCAATATTCCATTCAATCATCGATTCCAACACATTTCGATATGAACAATCCTGATGATTGGTTTCTTGCTTATTCATCTATTAAAAATTCAGTTGTACAAATTGAACGTATAAAAAGTAATGAACTATTACGTTTAACAAATAATAATCGTCAGAAAATATCACTTAACGATAATCCACGTGTACGTGGGCCGAAATCAACTCGATTTACATGTCCTATTTGCGGTTTAATCACTGTTTCAATGGAACGTTTACAAAAACATGTTAATCAACATGGACAAATACTTCATTTAGAAACTTACAAACCAGAACGAAAACTATCAACGTTATTATGTGAAAAGTGTAAAGCAACATTTTCATCAACATATGCATTAAGAAAACATCAACGTGTACATACACGAGGTGCGATTTTGTTTTCTTCTCAATTTAAATATCGTAACTAAGAGTTTCCTATTTCAATAGATAAACCGTTTTCATGTGATTTTTGTGGTTCAAAATTTTCTCAATGGGGAAATTTACGACATCACATTCAAAGACATTTAGGCATCAGTCCATATGCTTGTCCATATTGTAAAAAAACTTTTATAGCACCATGCAAACTTGAAGTACATATACGTGGCCATCTTGATGAACGGCCATATGTCTGCGATCGATGTCAAGCAACATTTCGTTGTAACGATGATTTACGTAAACATCTAATTATTCATGCCGATTATAAGGTTTAATGGTCAAAATAACAACTATAAATATTCATATATTGTTTGTTTGTTTTTTGTGCCTTCTAGCCATTTGTTTGTTGGTTATGTGCAAAACAATATTTTCATGCGTCGAAATTACGTATGCATATGAAAGAAAAACATGATATGAATATAGTAATTAAGAAAAAAGATGTATTAGAATCCGGTATTGAATATGAAATAACAGTAGTTAATCAACAACAGAAAGAAAATTCATCCGATGAACAAACAACTAAAATCTTTTATGAACCAATTATTAACTCCGATGAAAATGAATCACAAATCATCGATGAAAATATGGGAAATTATCAATTGTTAACTGAACTAAATGTTAATGATATTGAATCATTTGTTAAGTCGAATCCATTTGTTTTATCAGATACTGATTTAAGAACTTGTAGTCAACCAAATCATCAAAATCATTTTGATGAATTTAAATTAATCGATTTTCCGGTTATGTAAAAAAACAAGCAAAACAATATGAAATAAAAATTTTGTTTTGTTCGATTTATAGTTTAGGTTCGTTTGAACTAATCAATGAATTTGTTGTTGTTCTTTTCTCTCTTGTTCTCTTCTAACTGATAATCTCTCATTGGTCTCATGCTTGCATCTCATAGAAAGGATTCCTACTATAGCTAGATAAACATCGAAAGCTGTAAATTAGAGTTTGCGTGATCAAATCTTTCTTTCAGAAGTAGAGAAAGTGTTCCAGTAAAAGTCCGTAACAAGGACGTCTCACCGGAAACATTAATCCTAGATTAAGTGAGTTCTATTTTTGCTTTTGATGACAATACATTTTAGGCATGATCTGTGTCAGAAATTTTTAGCTGTAATTTGATCGCCTGTAGACTGATGACTAACGCATGCTGAATACATGAATTCTTCTCGAATTTGAATTCAGTGCTTAAGACAGAATATAGCAAGATATGAAATACATCGTCAGAATACATGCTCTTGGAATTTTCATCTAGATTCATAGCCATTCTACTAAAATTTCAGTTTCGGCCAGATTCAATACTCATGTTTATGACATTTCATGTCTTACTTACTGCATGGTACCTTAGTAATACGAACTCGCCATCAGAGAGACAATCAGCTAGAAGAGTTTCTTCGTTACATTTTCAGTGCATTAGATCACATTTGGTATAACTCGCAATTGATAAAATATGTTGAATAGTGTTATTTTATTTTATCATATTTTAGCAGGAGAAAAAAAATGACAATCGATGTTACTGGATCTAAATTTTATTTTTTCATAAATTTATGGAAGAAATTAATAAACGATCTGCAGTGTATTGATGCTTTCAGAAGTTTTACTCTCTATAGATTAATTAATTCTTTTGAAAACCAAAAATTAGATACTTCGCTAGTTAAACATGATTAATTTTTTCTATGTTCGTTATAGAAATCAATTCTTTTATTAGGTATCTGTTGTATAAGCCTTATTCTAGATATGTCTGAAATAACGGTTAGTTCTACTAATTGGCTTGCAATATCCTTACGAAATGATACTGGTATTGTATTCAATTTAAATGATATTCAACAATGGCAACATCTTAGGCCTGTAACTGCTAGCAGTTCATCAAGTGAAGTTACTTCTACATCAACCGTTGATAAACAGCAAGAAAAAACTGAAGATGATGACGAAAATACAAATGAACTCAATCGTAATCTAATCAAATTTACACCTGATGGACAAAAATTACTTATCAATGGGCAAAATAAACAAATTTACATTTACATATCATCCTATGATGAGAATACAAAAACATATTGGCAATTGCAACGGATAGTAACAATAAAGAAACGTGCATCGGCATTCGATGTAACAAATGAAATTCTTCTTATTGCTGATAAAAGTGGTGATGTTTATAAAACTGATTTGTTAACTGATACCAGTGTTGTTCTTACAGCCGATGATTGTATTATGGGACATCTATCAATGCTGCTTGATATTGCGTTTATTACGACAGATAAAAATCAGCAATTTATATTAACTACGGATCGAGATGAAAAAATTCGTTTAACTCACTATCCGAATGCTTATAATATTGAAGGATTTTGTCTTGGCCATTCAGAATTTGTCTCTCATGTAAAATTAATCGATCAAAATCATATTCTTTCAGCATCTGGCGATGGTTAGAAATTTTTTTTCTTGTCTAAAAATATTTTTTAAAATTCGTTCGACTTTCAGGTACGCTTCGTCTTTGGCATTTACCCGATTGCAGAGAATTGAATTTTTTCGAAACAAAAACATTCCTTTCGTCATTTAAAAGTCTATCCTATGGTTCATCGCCATCCGGCTTCGAAAATAATAATAATGAAGTACCATTAGATTCGTCATCAATTAATTATTCCGTATGGAACATGGATCTTGTTTCGCCTAATTTAATAAAATCCGATATGAAAAATGTTTTTATTGCTATATCGATTTATGCATATCGAAATCATACGATATATTTAACAAAATTATCAAATCTTGAAAAAACAACAAATGAACAATGCAAATTAACATTTAATTCTAAATATGGTACAATTATAGATTATTGTTTCTCAACAAAAGAACTCATATCGAATTCTCAATGTAATTTATTTATACTATTTGACAGTAATATTTTACTTAAATTAAATTTGATTTCGATATTTTCCTATGATAAAAATGAAATCGACGAAAATGATTCAGTCATCAGTACAATAATTAATACAAAAGAATTTAATTTCATGAATAATATAACATCGAATGAAATTATATTTAAGCAATTATTTAAAATGCGTGGAGATCCTGGTGATAGTGCATATTATAAACGTAAAAATGAACGTATTGAACAACAAGAAGAAAAACGAAGAAAAAAACAAGTATCAAAACAGTTTCAAGAAAAAGTTGCAATCAATGAAAATGTCTAATGAGAGAGAGATTACAACAACTATATAACCTACTATTTGAGTTCATAGTAAACCTATAGAAAAATGGTTTTCTTCCTGATAAACTTAGAAGAATTCGCCTTTAGGACATCTCTGACATTAACACTTATGGGTTGTTTTGCTTGGTTTTCGACTTTAGACTCTTCTTGTAGATAGATAGAATCGCGCTCAAAATATCAGGACATTCCCCCGTAGTCACTAGTCTTATCTATTCATGAAAGTCTATTGTTTGACTTTATTAATCGCAGTCGAAAATTCAGTACAATTGATTTGCAAAAATTCCTACGAATGAGCCCTATTCGATTTCTTCTTCAAATTTATCAACAGTTCCTTTATGCGTCTAATATGTACTTAAATAGTGGCTTATTGTTGTAGTAATCTACGCGTGACTGAATTTCAAAATATTTCTTCAACTACGCCCTATATGTAAAAGGTGTATTGGTTGTTTTCAAACGTGTGCCATTTTTCTCGTTCGATTAGCTTCCATATAAAAACGATCACTTGTTTTTCTCTCACTGTTATCTATCAAACAAGATTAAATATACTGAAAATTGTGTTTTTGATAACTTTTTTCAGATGATGATTTCATCGCTAGTTGGATGTACTTGCCGATGTATTCCATCTGATCTAGTTTCATTAAATCGAACAATAATTTATCGAACACTATCATTAGCATCGTCACCGGTGACATCTAAAATATCAATACATGAACAGAAGTCAAAAACAGAAGAGAATAAAGAATATGAAAAGATTAAAGACGCTCGTCATCCGACAGAATCATCGTCTACAACAGATAAAGTTGTTTCAAGTGATAAAAAGTCAAAAGCGTCAAATTCATTTGTTATCAATTTCTATCGAGGTCTGTTTAATCCTCAAGAAGTATTTCCATATCCTAGTGTAATGAATGAAGAACAAAAAGAGAATATTAAAATGTTGATTGATCCAATATGGAAATTTTTTGAAGAAAAAAATGATCCCGCAAAAAATGATCAATTAGAAAAGGTAACCTATTCAATCAGACGACTGCTCTTAAAACGAATTCTGTTGTGTTTCAAATAGATTCCAGATGAAGTAATGAATGGTTTGAAAGAACAAGGAGTATTCGGTATTCAAGTTCCTGTTGAATACGGTGGACTTGGCTTGACAAATACCCAAGCAGCACGTCTTTTTGAAATAATCAGCGCTCATGATCTTAGCATTTCAATATGCACCGGTGCACATCAATCCATTGGTTTTAAAGGTATATTATTATTTGGTACTTATGTTCAAAAAAAACAGTATCTGCCAAAATTAGCCGCCGGAGAACAAATCGCAGCATTTGCTCTTACAGAACCTACAGGTATGATATTTTCGATCTAAAGTAAAAAGAATTCAACTTAAATGAAATTACAAGATCTTGACTTATACATATCTTTTTTTTTCCTAAGATAGCTGACGTATTTTTACTGTTCTACAATAGTCCACACTAGCCCAAATTGGAATTCATTACATTATATAGACTTCAGCGTAGAATAAAAAGTTGCAAAACAGAATGACACTTTAGGATTACTCTAAATAGTAATAGCATTTGAGATCTGTTTCGTGAATATAACCTAGAGAATGATATACGCATAGCAATTGAGCTAATTTTCATTTTTATTTCAGCTGGTAGTGATGCTTCTTCCATTAAAACAAAAGCAACATTGTCACCCGATGGTAAATATTATATTTTAAATGGCACTAAAATTTGGATATCGAATGGCGGTCTTGCTGATGTATTCACTGTATTCGCACAAGTGCAATCGACCGATGATAAAACAGGTCAAAAAATAAATAAAATGACAGCGTTTATTGTCGAAAGAAGTTTCGGTGGTCTCACACATGGACAACCAGAGAAAAAAATGGGTATAAATGCATCGAATACAGCTCAGATTTATTTTGAAGATTGTAAAGTTCCTATTGAAAATGTACTTGGTGGTGTCGGAAATGGATTTAAAGTACGAGAAAAGATAAAATTTATGAAGTCGACTGTTTAGTTTGATTCGATTTTCTGATTAAAAGGTTGCAGTGAATATTTTAAATAATGGACGATTTGGTATGGTTGCTGGCTTATCTGGAACAATGAAAATGGCTATTAAACAAACCATTGTAAGTTTCTTTGACAAGCATTCTCTCAATGTTGAGTGTTGCAATTCTAATGAGACATATTCAGGAACTGTCTTTTATTTTTTTTATCTAACCCATGATCAATAGTAAACAAATTATATAACGAGTTAACTGTACTACTTGAATAAAAAATTCAACCGTTTTTCTAGTATACAACTCACTTTTTAAAGGGAAAACTCGAAATTGTTTTATCAGTTCATTCTTAAAAACAAATCAATCCTTTGTAAAATATATCTCAACAGAATTTTGCTAAAAATCGTCGTCAATTCGGTCGAACTATTGATACATATGGCAATATACAAGAAAAACTTGTTCGAATGGAAATGAGACAATATGTAACTGAAAGCATGGCATTTCTTTTGGCACAAAATATGGATCGAGGAATCACTGACTATCAATGTAATTAATAAAAGTTCTATTTCTTAGTATGATTTTTTGCTTCTACAAAATAATTTCAATTTTAGGTGAAGCTGCCATAGGAAAAATCTTCGCGTCCGAATCAGCATGGTATGTACTCGATGAAGCAATACAAATTCATGGCGGAATGGGTTTCATGAGAAGCACCGGTCTTGAACGTGTTGTACGAGATTTACGTATCTTTCGAATATTTGAAGGTGCGAATGATGTTCTTCGATTATTTATTGCTTCAACTGGTTTACAAGATGTTGGTTTACATCTAAGTGAACTACAGAAAGCAGTTCGAAATTTTAATTTTAATATTATCGTTGGTGAAAGTTCGAAACGTTTACGTCGAGGTATTGGCATTTCTACAGGCCCGGATATCAATGATTATATACATTCATCACTTCAACCATCTGGGTTACTTTTATCGAAGTCGATTGATAGTTTTGGTACGGCTGTTCAACAGATTCTTATTAAATATGGTAAAACTATTCGCGACGAACAATTTATTGTTCACCGTATTGGAGATATTACCATTGATTTATATTCAATGGCAGCTAGTTTGTCACGTTGTACGCAATCGTTCAGTAGTCAAATCTCATCAGCTGTGCATGAGTCTAAATTAGTTCAAATTTGGTGTGAAGAAGCTTATGAGAGAATTAATAATAATATTAATCTTATTCAAAGTTCGGATTTTATTCAAAGAACACGATTAATGAATGAATTAGCGCGAGAAATTGTAGAGAATGAATCAACTGTTCCTGTACATCCATTGGGTTTTTAAAAAGACACACATGTCTTTTTAGATGTATTTCTTCAGTATCTGATTTTATTTTTAGAGAAAACAAAACATAGAAGAATAATTTTTTAATGTTTTGTCTAGTTTTGATCAGATTTTTATATAAATAAATATAAATTGATGCAGTATTAAAAGAAAAAGCTATCATGGTTATTTTTTTCTAAAAGATACAAGCAAGATCTACTCAAACTTTATTATAATTATCTGCATGAAATTTTGCAATTGATGGCTGATACATTTCAGACATTTTTCTAACAACTAGAATCCCAACGAGATCATTTTGTGACTTATAAACAGTCATTTTTGAAATTTCTTGAAATGTATTCCTTCTGTTATCAATAACTGAAGAATATTTTCGTTTATGCTATTCTCTCTGATGTATGAAATGTCTTCTAGTAATTATTTTAATGGACTAACGATTTTTTACTCAAATAATTGTAATCTTTCTAAAATTTTGAAATCCGATATTATTCTGGTAATGAACAGAAATTAGTGTCCGCAATGATAGATAATAATTCTACACAATAATGTCTATTTGAATTCTTCAATTTCCAAAATTTTCCCTGCATCGCGTTGCGTTTTGTTCTTTGTATGTTCTTGTTCAATTTTCCACATCAATCCACTCGAATTCTTGATCGGTCGATGTTCGCTTTAATATTTTCTTTAATCGAATAAGATAACGTTATGGATGCAGGTTTATATAGAAACGCTGTTAGCGCAATCCCTGTGGGATTAAAATGTGAAACACGATAAAGCTCCTTTTCTGGGATCCGTCTACCACGGTATGTAGAGTTTCTCTGCCACGGTCTTTGGGGGGGGGGGGGGGGGGGGGGTATTAATTNACATTAATATTAATGATTAATGAAAACATTAATTTTAAAATTAATGTTAATGTTTTTCATTAATCATTAATATTAATGAATTAAGTTTTTCTTAGAAAACATTAAGCATTAAGATTAATGGCTAATGGAAGTCATTAATTAATGTCATTAATTAAGTTCCGTTAAAAAAAATGGTCCACCCCTACCCTCAAGATACCTATATAAAAGTCAATCAAGTGCGAATTTTCAGATTGTTGTACTTAGAATAATTATTATGGTGTATAATACATGAGAAAATCAAAAATTTTCTTTCTTCTTATAATAAAAAGTCCAAATAAATGACTGTCGTTTCTCATAAAATTCTATATCGCGATAGGTGCACAATGTCATATGAATTTATGGTATTTACTGAGAAAACAAATGTTTTATTACTCGTAGTAACCATGAAGGAGAGCACATTCTGTTGACTTCAAATCAAGTTTAATGTATCGAAAATGTATTTACGAGTGGTTCATGGAAATCTTGATACTTGGAAAAATAAAAATAAAGTACATAAGCAATAGTTTGGCATAATAAGTAAATAATTATCAAGATAGATTTTCAGATTCAATACCTGCTTGCTACATTAATAGGATGTGCTAATCAATATATCTAAACGCAGATATAGCCGTCTAGTGAATTTTTGTTTGTTTAATGTTTTCATATCCCAGTAAAATAGGTTCGTTTGATGAAAAGCCCAATTGATAGTATTACTGACGTCAATACTAATTACCATTTCTTTGTTCCTGAGAGTGTGTACAAAAGTTTTATTTTTTGCCCCATTTTCATTAATCATGATATCAATTTTGTTCATCTGTCACTAATCAAACTCGTTTTAGATTAGATAGCTTAATCCTTCGAGTCATTTTGTAACTACAAGCAAAATATGGCGAATAGAAAAGAAAACAAAGAAATGATAACAATTGTTTGGTACGATTCCAATATTGATTCGTACAAGCAAACAGAAAATATCAACGAACGATTACGTCAAATCAATGATTACGTTCTATATTATAATGAACTTGAGCCTTTCAAAAACGATATCGATTTCATGGACAACGAGAAGATTTTCTTAATTACGTCTAGTCTTAATGCTTCTCAAGTCAATAAACTTCCGCAAATCAATGCTATTTTCATATTTGATTTCGAGAAAACCCCGAGTACAGAATTCGATTGTGAACGTGAACGAACCATTGGCATTTTTAATGAATTAGACAATTTGTATTCATCAATTCAACAACAAATCGAACTGAATAATGAATTATTTCAAACGTTCAGCTTCTTGGATCAATCTGAATATTCAATACAAGATCTATCGAAACAAACATCCAATTTATTTTGGTATCAACTTTTCAATGATGTTATTTTACGGTCATCACATGGCCAAGTAGTCAAGAATGAAATGATCGATGCATGTCGTCAATATTACCAAGACAATTTAGAATATATGAAATTAATTGACGAATTCGAACATGAATATCGTTCAGACAAAGTTATTGAATGGTATTTAAAAAGATCGTTTCCCTACAAAATCATTAAAAAAGCATTACAAACAAGAGACATGGACCAATTGAATATATTGAGATATTTCATGGGTGATCTTGTGCAAAGTTTTACACGACAAGATCAAAACAAGAGTCAATCTGAAAATCTCACTGTCTATCGAGGTTTGAAATTATCGAACGGTCAACTTGAAGAATTGAGAAAAAACGTAGGAAAACTTCTTCTAACTAATGGATTCATAACAGCAACTGTACTGCGTTCAAATGCATTGAAGTTTGCCAGAAAATCAATCCAATCAACAGATATTGTCGATGCTATTTTAGAAATCGAGTTAACTACAAAAGATGTTAACAAACATGTTCTCGTTACTGACATGGACAAATGCGCAGAGTTTGCCAGTCAAGATGATATTGTTTTTGATTTAGCTGCTGTATTTCATTTAGATAATATTGAATTCCATGAAAATATTTGGATTATTAAAATGAGTATTTCGACCGAAGAGAAACTTATTCTGGAAAAATATATCAAAGATACACATAAAAAAAATAATAATTTAAGTATTCCCATTCTATTCGGACGTCTGATGTTGGATATGGGCCATTGGAATCAGTCACAAACATATTTCGAACGTTTGCTAATCGATGCAAACGATCTAGATCAAGCATGGATAGAACATAGCCTCGGTGAAATTCATTCATGCAAATCAGAATGGCCTGTTGCACATCAATATTATGATCGTGCTTACGATCGAATGAACGATCCGAAACAAGTGCATATCAAAGACTCAGCTCTGGTACTTTCAGATATTGGAGAGACTCTCTATGCAGAAGGAAAATACGACGAAGCTATGAGTTTTCATACACGAGCATTAACCATTCGAAAGGAAAACTTTCCTCCAGATCATGTACATATCGCTACAAGTCTACGTAATATTGGTGATATTTTATCTGAGCAAAAAAGATACAACGAAGCATATGTAAATTTTCAAGAATCATTAAAAATATTGGAGAAATATTACAATGGTTCTCATATTGATATGGCCAAGTGTCTGATCTCGATTGGACTCTACTTTCGTGAACAAAGAGACCATAAAAAAGCTCTTGAGTATCATCAACAAGCATTATCAATCTACGAACGATACTATCCTTTAGGTCATGTGTCTATGGCATCAACGCTCAATAATATTGCATACATTCTATTTAGACAAGATCAATGTGATGAAGCCATCGCTACTCATCATCGAGCATTAAAAATGCAAAAGAAATGTTATCCATTTGATCATATTAATATTGCTGACCACCTGTGTACATTGGGTATACTTAACTATGCATTAGACAACTATGAAGCTGCTTTAGAAAATTTTCAACAATCATCAAGTATTCACCAACAATATTATACTTCCGGTCATGCTGAACAAATATGTGTTTTGAATAATATTGGCATTGTATTGGGTAAGTTAGATAAGTTTAATGATGCTATGGATTATCATCGTCAAGCCTTAGCTATACAAGAGAAATATTATCCATCGTACCAAGGCACCGTAGCAGAGACACTCGATTTAATTGCAGTAGCTCTCGACAATCAAATGAAATACGAAGAAGCTTTATCTTATCATCGGCAAGCGTTAACAATACTAAACAACTACTATTCAATGAATCATGCGGATATAGCGTTTACACTCGCATACATCGGTGACGTATTGGCTCAGCAAGAAAAGTTCGATGAAGCTCTAGAATCGTATCAACAAGCTTTGACGATACTCGAAAAGTCTTGTCCATATTCTCTTAATGATATTGCAAATAGTTTAACTCTTATTGGTTTTAATTTCGTTAATCAAAACAAGTTCGACGAATCGATCGAATATTTTCAAAAAGCACTAGAAAAACAAAAGTGCTATTATGGCTCTGATCATCCCAACATTGCGAATACACTTATTAACATAGGCGATACACTTCGTTGTCAGAAAAAGTTTGATGAAGCCATCGAATATCATAGAAAGGCATTAGCTATTCAAGAGAAATACTATCCTCTAGGACATTCTAGTATTGCTACCACGATGAATCAAATTGCTTTCATATTGGAAGATGAAAATAAGTACGATGAGGCATTTCATTATTATCAACAAGTAAATTCAGTACTTACAAAACTGGAAAAGAATTATCCATCATATCAATTACAGATTGCTAATAGTTTAAGAAATATTAGTAATGTTCTATATTTACAAGATAAGAACGAAGAAGCTTTTGAATATCAACAACGTGCATTATCGATCAGAGAAAAATTTTTACCACCTGATCATGCTGATATTGCGAATATCTACATAGACATTAGTCGCAGTTTGCATGAGCAAGGAAAATATGCTGATGCACGTGAATTTCAACAGCGAGCTTTAGCAGTGCAAGAAAAATTCAATCCATTAAATCAATTGCATAGAGCTGCTAGATACAACGAAATTGGTCATACGTTTGCTCGTGAAAAAAACTACGACGAAGCCATTCGTTTCTATCAACAAGCATTAGACATCCGAGAGATATTTGATCCAACGAGCCATAATGACATTGTCATTCTACTCAATAACATTAGCGATGTATATCAGCAGCAACTAAAATACGATGATGCACTCGTCTGTCAAAAACGAGCATTACGAATACGTGAAATTGGCGATCCATCAAATTGTTCACATGTTGCAAATATTCTTAACAATATCGGTAATATTCTTCGAGAACAACAAAAGTATAATGAAGCTCTTGGTTACTATCAACAAGTATTGGCAATTTGGGAAGAATTTTATTCGTCGGATCATAGAAATATAATAACTTGTCTTAATAATATTGCTCGTGTATTTAGCGACGAAGAAAAATATAATGACGCGCTCGTCTATCGACAACGCGTATTAACAATAAGAGAAGAACATGAATCGTCAGATTATCAAGAAATTGCCAATGATCTTAACAACGTTGCACATACTTATTTGAATCTGAATGAATACGATAAGGCTCTCGAAATGTATCAACGAGCACTTTCCATTAGAGAACAGTTTTGTACATCCAATCAAGTTGATATTGCTGATAGTCTAGAAAACATCAGTCATCTTCGACAACAACAACAAAAATATGACGAAGCAGTCGATTTAGCTCATCAGGCTCAGAAAATCTATGAGACATTATATCCAGATGGCCATCTTAGTATAGTTTCGTGTCTTGATCGTATCGGACGTATTTTAAGCCAACAAGAACAGTACGAGAAAGCGTTCGAATGTCAAGAACAAGCATTAGCGATCAGAGAAAAATGTGATCCAAATAATCATGCAGATATTGGTCGATCTATCAACGATATGGGTGTCATGTTGTATCATCAAGGCAAATATGATAAAGCTTTTGAGTTCTATCAAAAAGCACTAATACACTATGAAGAAGATTATCCTTCTAGTTGTGTGGGTATGCTCACTACATTGGTTAATATTAGTTTAATTTATAGAATGCAATCAGACTACGATGAAGCTCTAGATACACTACGGCGAGTATTAATAATTCGGAAGGAGCGTTGTCCATTGGAATATTCTAGCATTGCCAAAAATATCCAAGACATGGGCGACATATTCTATGAACAATCTGAATATGAAAATGCTTTTGAATCTTATCAAGAAGCATTATTCATAATAGAAAAACATTACCCGATGGATCATATAGAAATAGCCAGTTGTCTACAATCGATGGCAGTTATGTGCAATGCAACGGCAGATTTCGATCGTGCTATTCAATGTTTTGAACGGTGTCTATGCATTAGAGAAGCAAGTTTACCTAAAGACGATCGATCAATTATCGAAACTCTTATGTACTTGAGTCAAGTGCAAAGAAATCAAAATCAACACAAACTATCGTTGACATACGAAATGAATTGTTGTTTGATGCGTATGAAATTTCTGCCAACAGAACGTGAAAGCATTGGTGATAGTTTAATACATATGGCCAAAAGTTACGAGCATCTCAATAAGCCCAAACTGGCACTTGATTATTACAAGCAAGCACTGAATTTATACAAGGATTATTTACCCGATGGACATGAAAATCAAATAGATATGGAAATTAATATCGAACGGCTAACAAAAGAAATGGCAGCATAGAAGATTTCTCTAGTAAAACAACATGATCCAGAAAATCAAGAGTTTCATTGAACTATGTTTTGAATGAACGTCAATGTGTATAAAAACACAATTGAGCTTTCTTGCCTTTACGACTTTCTTTCGAAACTGAGGAAATACTGATGAAACGAAGATTCATAACTGTACAATAATCGAAAGCTCTGTGATTCATCCACGAAATAATCTATCAGATAATAGATTTCCGTACTATCTTTGTGAAAATTTTCATTAAATCCTCTATTTCTTAAATTCTGATAATTTTTCTTGTGGAATCATAAGAAAGGCTTTGCAATACACTTTCAAAACTGTCATTTGAATAAAAAAAACATTTAAATATTTGTTCCACTTTTTATTTCCATAGATATATATTATCAATACATGTATATAACACGGGCAACCTAAATTATTGCATGTGAAATCTTACCTATCACATGCAAGTCATTGGAATACTTGCGACAAATTGAAATGTTTTTCAAGTTGGATTCATTAAAATGATTCCAAGTGGAGGCACGAGAAATATGAGTAGAAATCGAATACATCTAAAATAAAACTCAACTTGTGCACCCATTGCCAAACAACTCATGTTGGTTTTTCTCTTTGAAAAAAAGTTCGAATGAAACATGAAAAGAAAGCCTTCACTTCTTCCTACATATGAATTGCAGGAGTCAATATGTGCGTGCTTGAGTGCTTAAATATGATTTCATCAAGAATAAGAAGAACGAAATTAAGTACGGCTGATAACATTATATGACTAATGTTAGAGCCTTGATGATGTGAAAAATTATCAACCGGCAATGAAATACTTTATAATCCAAATAAAATATATTGTAGGATGCATGCATGATAATAATTAATCTTGCTGATTTAACTGTGTAAGAAATGGTATGATAGGATCGTCTAGAACCCTTCAGACAGGCCTCGAACCCAGATATTTGTCAAATCCGAAACCTATTCTGGATCTAAAAATCTTGTGCCCAGAGGGCGCTAATGTGCACAAACTGTTATTATTGTAAATTATATTAACTGAATAATATTATATTGATGAATGAATGTCTATGTTGTGATAGGACGATAAAGATTTGCAAGGTAGATTAAATTTATTCCAACACGAGTAATTTCAATGGCACACTGAATAAGAGAATATCTCAAAGCGATTTATTCGATTTGAGAAATTCACTACGAAACAATTGAGTTCATTTAATTCAATGTCTATTGAAGTTATTCAAAATACATTAAGTAACAAAAACATAAGTGAAGGTAAAATGCTGCTGTTGCTCATGAACGTTTCGACGAGAACGAAACTTCGTCGATAAATAAACAATAGAGTCTATGAACAGAATCAACTAAAGAAAATCGAGTTTAGGAGCAAGAATCCCTGCAGTCATAACATTAGGAACTTTGATGGCATTGACACACATGACTTAGTTCTGGTATATTTGAACAGTCATTTTTCTACTGAAACGGTAAAATAATGAACAGAGACAAAGAGAAGATTCGGGAAAGTAACATCACTCAGACGTGAAACCATTGTTTATTATGAGATATTAAAAGCAATCTTCAATCTATCAGATTATAATCATTCAATGTGTTAATATACACTGTTTTATGATCGTGTCCTTGAATAATAAATATTATTTTATCGTGTCAATTTTCTAATCAATAATCATATATATCTTTTTTTGTCTTCTAACTGCTTCGACACAAGAAACAAAAAAAAATGATGACGATTTACTGAAATAGTGAAAAATATCGAAATTCTGATTGACTGTGTAATTTGAGAGTGACAAATAAGATGATATTCTTTTCATATTCGAGCTTGTTGACATGAAAGAACATTACTTTTGTCAAAATAATTCTAATATTCACATCATTTCTAAATCGACTTTATCGAACGATAACATACATATGCACTATTGACTTCTCATTGTTCGAAGATACACAAAATAACATTAAAGTAAAACAAAGCCCAATATGTGCTTTTTTATTTTTGAATATTGATTGCCGTTTTTTTTTTATATTGCATTTCGTCTTGGTGATAGAGAAGCCTTATGATTATCTGCTTAGAGATTTCATTAATGATTTTATTATTTATTTACACATCAAAGAAATATGAAAGCATACATGCAAATGAATAATTTGGATAGAAAATTTATCTTTGATTTTGTTTTTCAAATTTTCAACATAAAAATCATTCTTCATCTAGACTTTGATTTGTTGAATTGACCGAATCAGATTGTTGAAGACGTAGCGATACTAAGCGGAATCGTTAAAATCAACCGCTCAATAAAGATACATCTCAATAATGAACGGTGTCTTTATGTTCTTCATTTTTTACTAAATATAAGAGGCTAGAAATAAAATTTATAAGAACATTTTTTCTTTGTAAGTGTTACCTTTTCACACTTCACCCTTTTTTTTTGTTTCTAATTTAAATAAGTTACTGTGCTGGTTAAATTTATGAGTATTCAAACATGAAATCGAAATAGAAAAATGAATCGAACAAAAGCATGCCTTTTATTTTCATCGACTTCCATCTGTTGAGTCCTCTGAGTCTTTTCCTATATGCTAAATAATATAACTTATTGAATATTGTTGCTCTTGATGAATCCATCAAATGTGATTCAATCAACTTTTTCTTCATTTCAAAATTGTTCAAGTGTAGATCTCGTCTATGCTTGTAAACCTACCTGTTCGCTTTTTCTCTATGCCGCGGCACAGAGAAAAGTAGAGGAAAAGAGTAATGCAAGAGCTCTTTTCTCTCAAGTGTGACGACAAGTAAAGTGATTAAATGCAAGGAAGTGAGCAACACACTCATGAGAGAAGAGTTTCTCTTTTTTCTTCATTCCGAAACTGTCCATGATGTTTCTTTCGCACCGATTTATATCCATACGAGTTCATCGATAAGTGTTTTCTTTTCAGTTCTTTTTTTCTTCTTCTCTATATTCAGAACAGTATTTCGAAAAGGTACTTACTATAAGTACAATATCAGGATTTTCGACTGTAATTTGAAATACCTCGTATATATTGTATATGTGCGTGTGTGTGTGTGTGTGTAGAACGAAATGCGACTCAAAAAAACACGAAAGCACTTCTATTCTGACATTAAAAAAAAGTTACTCATGTATTTGATGAGAAAATAGATGAAATTAAAATGCCCAGTTATGTGCAAAATAAAACTATTTTAAATTCTATGAACTCTTTTATTCTTACTGTGATAATTAGATTTGATAAATATATACTTTTGAGATGTATATGAGTATAAGAAAAAGAAAAGGAGAATGAATGAAGGAATAAAATATCTTATTGAGACTTAGGTCATCAAATAATAAAGTAAACTTACTAGTATAAAACGATGAAATTGCATACTATATATTTTTTTCTTTTCATATATGTAGTGTTGTGTATGTGTATTTTGAAAGACAGGTAGCCGACTGTTGTGTTGAATGAAGGAGAGAATAGTTGTTACAGTAGGAGTATAGAGAAGAAGAAAAAAAACTAAGAGAAAATTATGAAAATGTTTGTTAAGAGTGTCTGCGCATAGCAGCGCCTCGATCTCTCTTACACTCTCTCTGCAAATGCACGATGCATTTTGAAATTCCATTAAAATGAGTCTATTCGACAAAAGACAAGTGAAAGAGAGAGAGAGAGAGAGAGAGAGAGAGAGAGAGAAAGAAGGTAAAAAAGAAATAAGAGAATCACACTGGTCTCTCCAATCAACAAACCAGCTGATTACAATTGTACAGTATTCACTACTGCGGTTAGTATGTTTCTCTCTCTCTCTCTCTCTTGTTCTCTACTATGATTTCTATCTTTATTCTAGAAGAAATTGAAAATGAATACATCAAGGTATGAAACAATGTTGCAAGCAAATAAGGCTGTTTGACGTACGACGACTTCTCTTTTCTTTTTCTCCTGTGATTTGTTTGTTTAAGACAATGACATTTTTTTTTCATTTTCAGAATATACTATGTATGAATGCCTAATCATGAGACGACGATAAAGACAAACAAGTATCATGGCAGCAACAATAATTTGTTTGCATATTCATCCAAACGAGTCAAATGTACACTGTTGATTGAATGAAATCTCCTATGCTAAATCTATATGTTTAATAAAAGATCTCTTCTTTTTCTTTTTTGTCTACAAATATAATTAATTAATTTGCCAAGATATGGCACAATACATCTTTGAAAAGAGACACGAAGAAAAGAGTTTTCATACTCAACAACACGAAATCTAATGATAAAGCCTTCGAATTAAACTCAGATGAAGTTTATCAGGCAATTTTGAATTGATTCAGATGTCACCTGCAGTATCGTACTATGATTGGTTGTTAATTTAACGAAAGATAATAAAGACATTGTTTGTTCAATTTATTTCATTCTTTGTTTCATAACGGTTTTTGTCTTGAATTCGTTGAAATTTCGGACAATTGTTTTCATGTGTTAAAGTTCGAACAAAATATTGAAAAAAAAAGATGCCTTTAACGGATCAACAATTACGTCAAGAATTACTCAATTACGGTGAAACTGTACCGCCAATAACACAACGTAATCGTGAACAACTTCGTGCTCGACTTGAACAAATTCGATTACGACCACGTTCACCTGCTAAGAGTTCACCGTCACGTTCTCGTGGAAATACGTCTACAGCACGTTCACGTCCTGTGCACGGTCTTATTGAATTAAGCGACTCGGAAACAGATACATCAGCCAATGAATATCTTTCATCACGTCGGAGTGGACGAGAAACAAATATTCAAACGCGTTCTGTTGGAGTTGGCCGCGACACAGATCGAACAAACTCATTATCATCATCAAATGTGACTGTTGACGTAGAACAATCTAGTAAATATTTTGAAATCTAGAGATAATCTCATCTATGCTTGACTTTTTTCTTTGTTTGCAGTTGCTCGTCATCGTCGTGAAATTCAACAATTAATTGATTCAGCGCGTGATAGAGCTCGTGCTGCCAATGCAAATATATCTTCTAACAAATATGAACCATTACCATTACCAACAAAATCTGCACCATCAGTTCGACCAAACTTCGCAGTACCATCTCGTGTGCCATCATCATTTAAGACCGATATTAAAAAATCTCCAAAACAACTATCTCGGCTTGCTCGTACACGACAAACAGTTACATTATTTTGGACAAATAATAAATATGTTATTACGAGCGTATTCAAAGCAATATTCATTGGTTTACTCATAGCTGGCGGAGTTATTTTTCTTAAAAATAATTTAAATAGAATTATTCCGAAACCAAAAAGTAAATTTATTGCTTTATCTTTTACTTAATTGAGATTTTAATATTTTAGAAATAGCTTGTAATATTCAAAATGCAGTAAGAATTTGATATGATTTGTTTTTTTTTGCATATTTGAACATATTTCATTTTAGATCGACTGTGATGATATGATACCAGTAGTTAATTCGATAAAGAGATATCTTAAAATTAGAACTGGTAATTATTCATACGAAAGAAAATAATATGTATATAGATTATTTTTGATTTAGGTGAGGTCGATTGTGGTTTTCGACAAAAAAATGAGCTCTATGTAACAAAACCAGAAATTAATAAAGTTTTAGATGCAAAAGTATTTTTAAACAAATCTGCTTTTTACTTACATAAAGTTTTGCTTGCTACATAGGGATTTAAATTTGAATCCAGTTCAGATGATCGATGGAAAACATTGATTACTTACATACTCGAAAAACCAGTTGATGATATCTTGTAAGTTAATATTAATTTTTGCATAGAAGATTGGATGAATTGGTAAAGCCGCTAAATACCAGGAGTACTACTATTGAAATCAATGATTAAAATAGGTATTCGATTCGTGTTGTTGACTAGTAGTGTGTTCGGTTTTGATCAAAATCAACTAAAATCGTCTGATTAACTACCAAAGACATTCGTATCTTTTTCTCATCTATCTTAGAAGTAATTGAATTTTTTCATTTAAGCGACTCCTGCTGAGTAACAGCAATGCGCATAAAAAAATGAAGATTTCAATCGTGAGAAGTAGTGTATAACATTTCACTGTGATGTATCTATTCAGTTTTCCCTGAGAATAGTAATTTATCTATTAGTCTTTCCATTGAGTTAAATAAGCAGCCATCTAATCTGAATTGGCATGGCGTCTTGCAGTTGATTACTGAATACAGTGTAGGAGCTGGGGATTTTTTTATATTAATTTCATGAACAATATTTAGAGTAATCAATAATCAAAATCAACCAGTAAGCGAATTGAATGCTGCGTACAAACTTACGACAACACAAGGAACCCACTCATTCATGTGCCGTGCTCGTAAAACTGTCAATTCAGCAATGCAACATTTAGCTTGGCTAGTATTAGGTAAAAATCTATTCATTATTTTCCTTCTTCAAAATGACTTGTTTTCTTTAGGTACAACAGGTTTTCTAGCCTTGGGTTGGCTTATTCGACGACGTTCAAAACAACGCGAAGAACGTGAAAAAACATACAAAGAGTTCATAGAAAAAATTATTAACTTACTTGAAGCTCAATATGAAGAACACCTACTTGATTCTGAAGTAAAGCCATGGTTAGCTGTAAGTCATATCCGTGATATGCTTATTGAACCACAAGATCGGTTAGTATAGCGAAGCGTAATCCTCTCGTTTGATTAAATAGCTTCTTTTGATAATTAGTAAACGCTTGAAAACTCTTTGGGAACAAGCAAGAAAACAAATCAGTGAACACGAATCACGTATCCGCGCAGAAACACAATTAATTCATGGTGAAGAATTTGACGTTTGGAGATGGATTCAACCACGTTCACCAACAAGTCCATCACCGCCACGAAGAAAACGAGCCGTAAGTTTAGAGAGAGAAAAAGTGACTACTGCAAATCACTAAATATGTTCTACTATCTTTTTAGGAATCACCAAAAAGCTCAAATGAAGACAGTTACGTTTACATGCCACCTGATGTTGGTCTTACAGATTGTTTAAAATTAAGAAATTTCTTCGATCCTAACACGTACGTACAAGAGAAACCTTATCAAAATGGAATTGATACGAGTAGATGATTGTTAAGAATTTGTTCTTTCTTCGAATATCTTAATATGTGGGCGCTTGTTTTTCTTCTGGTTTCTATTAAATATGTGCATCTCTTTCGTTTGCTTTCGTCTAATTATCTTCTCTCAAAGTCAAATCGTACGGATATTGACCTTGATCTGATGTTCTTATTCAATAGTAATATTTCTATTACACATTAATATTCTCTATTCGTTTTGATTGTTTTCATTTGTACAATAAAATATTTGAACTCACGCTCAAATAAAGCAACGTATCTACAATCATGATGAACGAAAGAGAGCGTGACCAATCAAGATAGAAGTTCCTTTCTGAATTTTTAAAGACTTGAAGAAATATATTTTTCTTTTATTTAGCCTTGCTGATGATGACGAAATTGATCTTGTTGTTGATAGTATTCAAAATCGTTGTGCAACAGTTAAAAGAATTGAACATATTGGTATTCATTCAATTTTTGTTTATTTAAAATTTTCATCAAACGAAGCTGCTGCTCAAGGCTTTCATTTACTTAGCAATTGGAAATATCATGGTAAGTAAAATTTTATTTTCTTGGAGAATTAAAACCAATCCGTTTTATTTTTTATTTCAGGCCGAGAAATTATTGCTAAATACCTTCGCTTAGAACGATATTACGAACATTTTCCTGAAGCACGTGATAGCGGCTCGACAAATAATTAAATCAATTGTATTATGTTCTTGTTTGTCTTCTTTTTTTTCTCTCTCTCTCATGTTGTTGTTATTTTTTAAGCAGCAAATCTACGTTATGATCTATTCAGATTTAATTGCTCTTCCTTCGCTTGTCTTAGAAAATCAGAAGGAGGATAAAATGAAATATACCAAAAATAAGCTATAGCTTCTTGTTTTTTTTATTATTATTATTACTATTATTACTTGAATAAAGATATGACTATTCCAGATAAGATATAATGAGTGAATTTGCATCATCTGTTAGTTCACAAACAGCAAGCTGGTTTGAATTTTTACTTAATCCAACATTGATAGATACGTTCTTAACAGAAGATAATCTCGGTAATCATGATAATTATTGAAATGAAAAGAAAAATTAAAGATTTGTTTTGTTTTGTTTAAAGACATAACTGGTACTGATTTGATCATTCAATTTTTAATTAGTGCAAATTTAATTGAACAAAAAACAAAACTTAAAACAGCCACGGAAAATCCAAGTATGAGCATCTCTATGTGTTGTCTATATTATTATCATATAAAGTCTTCGTTTAGATGATATCGAATTGAAAGATAATCGAATTCGAGCATTGAGACATTTGGCAATAAAGATAGCTGCTAAACTTAATTGGGATTTGGTAGTTATTGAAAAACGGTAATGACATTATTTCAAAAAGAAGTATTTGTTTTAGATGTATACTTGAATTTCCGTTTCCTAATAAAATCAAGATGAGAACGACCAGAGGAATATATTTGTAGAAAAAATATTTTCCCTATTTCTGTTAAAATTCTTGTGAAGGTGATTCTTTAGGCAATCACAATACCTCAAAAGTTTTTTTTTGGCAACAGTAGCGGCGAATCCATATTTCATAACTATACTAATTGGAACCAATCGTTGAATTTTATATCTAGTTAGATTGAGAAGAGCTTACAGCTCGGAAAAAGAGCAGTCTCTATTTAAACTGATCATTAAATAAGATATTGTTTTAATATATTTGCAGCATTCCAGTTGCAGTCGCTTCAGATCTTATTCATTGTTTTGTACGATTGACAACTCAAACTGATAAAAATTACAAAGATCGTGAACAATTACAATTATTAAGTAAAGTAGACGAGCCAGCACTATTTGCTGTACAATTATTACATCGATGGTTTGTTTACAAAAACAGACATTCATTTCATTTCATCATTATGCCTTCTTCTTTTTCTGCTGTTAAGGACTGTAAGAACAGTTGTTCAATCATCGTTTCCGATGAAACCAATAAAAATCTTTCAAGTCAATGTGTATGAATCTGTGCTTTTTTTTCTCGTTTCTAACAATCGTTGTGTTTTTTGTCTGTACAGAGCTGGCTATGTAAATCCATTGCAACATATGCGCGGACCTAATGAGAATGTCATAGAGATGGCACGTGCCAAGGTGAGAGAAAGTATCCAAGCATTAGAAGTTTTGCTAGAATGCAAATCAGCCGTACGCATACCTGTAGATGCGTGTTTTGATTTAATTGATATTGAAAATGGCCTAGTACCATGTGATTGGTCACGTACACAAGTCTATCCGCTTGTTGAATGTACTGCAAGGGTAAATATTTCTATTAATACAAAAAAACATGAATAACAAGATAAATATATATATATATATATATACATTAAATAGATTGCTTATGATCTTGGTTCAATATATTTTTATGAACAAAATTATGTTAATGCTTATACAATGTTTCGACGTGTGCATGATTTAAAAAGTCAACTGGAACCATCAAATTATTTTTCATCGTTAGATGGTTATTTAACATCACTTCAATCGATAAATCCTTCAATGGAACAAAGTCTTTTAACTAAAACTAAAGAGCGCTTTCTAATGGGCATACCACCACCGCGAGCTTCTGTTGAAGTAATTAATTAATTGAATCTTAAAAACAGTTTAATCTATATGATTAATATTCTAGGATTATATTTCAATATTAGCAGAAGATAACGAAAGAAAAGAAATGACTATGGCTGCTCGATATCGATTAGAAGAACGTCATGAAGTGTAGGATCTTTTTCGTTTTCACTATGTTAATTTCATTTGCCTAATAATTTAGTGGATCACAACAATATAAAATTGTATGTTCATTTAATCTTGTTCGATGTTTACTCGATGGTAGACCTACAAATACTCAATATGGATTTGATTATCTTGAAACAGTAAGGGAAAAAATAATCGTTCCTATCCTAACAATTCATTTCTTTTCATTATTGTATAAAGGCTCTTCAACGATTAAAACAAGTGACACCAAAACAACAATTATTATTGAACAGTTTTTTAAAGTATACTTATTGTTAATAATAAATTTATTCGTAAAAACTCATTTTTTTTCTTAAATCCCTACTAGAATTAATTTTTATAATTTAACAAAAAGTCTACAAGAACAATTACGTCTGGATAAGCTTGCTCATCTTGTTGGTCCAAACTTTTCTACTCCTACTTGGCACACAAGAAAGCAACAAACAACACCAAGATCTTATTTACTTGAAAGACCTAATGGTATTTCAACGATTTCATACGTAGCAGTTCCCCCTTTTTACTCTAATTTTATTTTACATTGAAAGATATTAAAAGAACTTTTTGTTTGTTGTGCAGGTTCAGCTCAGTTTAAATGTCAAACACGTCTACTACATTCTTTTGAACCTGAAATACTCTTACAAACTATAACAGAATTAGATAATGCAAAACTACCACAAATATTTATTGAACTATTTCCACCGGTAAAAAACGTTTTCTAAGATGAATAAGCATGATTTGATTTTCTTTCGTAGTCAATAATGCAATCACCTATTGATCAATCATTGAATATGATTTTGAATACAAATCATTTACTTGGACAATTAATTCGCATTCTTCATGAAAAAGCTAAACGAGCAAAATTATATAATGTAAATAATAAAGTCAACGATTACAAAAAAAAAATATGAGGTTCTTATTTTTTCTTTGTAATTTAAGAATCATACTCAAAGTCGTATATTATTAAGTCAAGCTATTGATATTCTTAGTCCACTTCATCATCAAGATATATCGATTGGACAAGTAGTTAAATATCTTCATTATGATCGATTATTATTTGATTTAACGGAGTCGATATCAAAACAAACATTTCTTGATAATGAAAATAATTTATGGGAAAAATGCCAAAGTTTTTTGAAAGAAAATCATTCGGACAATGGTAAATATTTTATGTTTTGTAAAAAAAGGAAACATCGAAAAATTAGAATCTAGATAAACATGGATAATGCGCAATCTTAGTTTTGTTAAAAAATAACAAAAAGTTGAGTACCTCTTTCCTATAAATTTCTGGTCGCTATGCCACTACTAGTTTTATTCATGAGCGATGGTTTTTCCTAGCCCATTGATTTATCTCAATGGCGAGGAAATCTAGTTATAAAGCACTCAGAATGATGTAAATTATTCGGAAGTTATTTCAGTCTACTGTGCGCTCTATGACCCGGAAGAAATTATTACTGTTCTTTTTTTAGAGACGTAGCATCCAATAATAAAATTATTTCAAAGTAGAATTGTCTGGAAGCTTTTCCAATTTGAGACATGTTTCCCAAAAAAAAGCAACACCCTTCAGACTCAATCAATGTTCAAGATCTGAAAATTCATTTTTCGAACTTTGAACTTTGTTAATCCATTGTTTTTCTAGTAAGTGCTTGAAAATAGTTCTTCAAAAATAAAAGAGAGCCAACAAACAAAGGAGATATTATCCAAGATCTAACTTTGAGAGCAATCCTATGAGTTCGTGTCCAACTGTTTGGGTACAAAAACAAGACTAGACTAACTGGTTTATACTGTACTATCTTAAAATATATACATCAAAAATATAGTATTCATTTAATATTTCATCGTTTGATCTTCTAAGAATAAACAATTTTCTTTAATTATTTTTAAGCTTGAAATTTTCGATTAATTCCACATGAATTATTCGTTTAAATATTTTTTTATTTATAGATGTTAATACAGATCTGGTACGTGTTGCATTAGCATATGCATTGTCAAGAAATGAAATTCAATTTATACAATCGTTAATACAAACGGGACGTCGAACACGTTTTTATCTTGATTTAGCCAAAGTTTTTGCACGTATGTCTTCGTATAACTTCGGATTCACTTTTCATTCATTTCTCATTTATAGGTTTATTAAATAATGAAAATCAACCACAAATACGTCCTGAACTTATACGTGAATTATGGGATAGAATATTAGATATACTGTCAGATAAATTACAAGGACCAGGTGGTATTAAGCAATCGAGAAATCGTCATCAGCAATCAAATACTTTAAATGATAAATTATCTGTTGTTGATCTACAAAAATTTCTTATAAATATTCATCATCCAATTTTAATGCAACTCATATTTTCACTTTTATCACGTCTCTATTCACTAATATTAGTTGAACAATCACATGTCGATATTTATTCTGAATATTCACGTTATTGGCCAACATCTATTGATTATCGGCAACGATCAATACGTACATCTACAGTAGCACAACTTATACAAGCTCTATTTGAACATATTCAAGCATTTAAATATTTACCTATACAAATAAAATCTTCTTTATATCGAACACAAGCTGATATTTATTTGACTTTACAACAATATACGCAAGCAATGCACATCTATATTGATGCAATATCGATTGAAACAGCTATTTTTTCGTCGGCAGTAATCAGTCAACAAGATGATGCAATGATTAGAAATATGATTAAAGCTGCATTACAACTTGGTAAAATGAAATTTTAATAAAAAGTTTTCAAAAACATCTAAAATTCATTGCTTTTCGAGTTTTCTCATTGCCTAAAAAGGTTGTTCTATTATGGAAAAATTTCGTCTAAATCTGAGTTAAAATTTCTTTTGATTTAACTTCAAAAAGTCTACGAACTGATGATCAAGTGAGACGGAAAAAATGCAAGCTTCATTTTCAGAGTTCTAATTCAAACAAGTCTTCTATTGTCATTTGTATATAATTCATAGAGAAAGTCAAGTAATCGATAGTCAGGATGTATCGGTTAACCTCGAGACGAGTAATTGAATATCTTATGCGTAAGATCTTTCTATATGACTTAGCCTGATAAGTACTTATCTATTATAATAATATATTCATTGAACCCTTCAAAATTACCAGTAACTATTATCAAAGACTTCGTTTCTAATCTTTAATAAGTCGACTATATTTCACTATCTTTCTTTTTCTCCTGAAAAAACGAAGATCTTTTGATTAGGATCAAAACAAAAAACGTCCGTTGGCAGTCAACTGAAATAAAGATTGCCTATTAACCTTTTGTATTTTATTCTTAGGTTATCATACTCAAGTTGCTTGTATATGTCAATTACTTCCAACGCCAGATTATAATATTATATTTAAAACATTACAAGAAAATTATATGAATGATGATATTGACGATTATTATGAATGTATTTGGGATTTAGCATTATTAGAAAGCTTAATAAGTAATTACATATGATATGATATAATGATATTTTTCTATCTTGATTAAAACAAATTGTTCTTTTCTTTTTCTTAATTTTATTTATAGATAATCTGAGTTTACGTGGATATGAAGATAAAAAAAGATTAGCGGTATGTTGCATGAATTCTTTATTAGAATCTATATTTGACTTTTTTGTTGTTGCTAGATTCGAATATGTAAACAAAAAGATTTAAATGGAAACAATTCCGATGAAATACGACTTCGTATGATCCGTGTTAAACGACGACTTCTATTCAAACAATTATTTGCTCATTATCTTTTACCTCATTGTCGCCTATATCGATCACGAGCTATGATGAAATTTCATTACCAACAAATCACTTTCGATTAGAAATAAAATCTAATTCTTTTTCTTTTTTTTTTGTTGTTGCCTGCTCATATTAACTTATGTGGAAAATTTTTTATATATACATGTGTAAAAAACCGAGAGATATTTGAAAAAATTTCCATATTTTTCCTATTGTCATATAAATATATGTAGGGAAGTGCTGGAACTATTGTTGAAACCTCGATGGGAATTACACAACAACAAAACAATCATTTGGGCACAAAAAAACAAATGATTTTTGTTATGTTTCCATTGTTTTGTTATGCCACCTAATCCGCCATGTTGAATGAAGAATTGTTGAAATATGATGAATAATAAACGAAACTGAAACCTTTCGTATGCAAACATCAACCTCTAATAATATACCCATTTAGTAAATATACGATTGTTTCGTTACCACAGCTGGGCTTTCATTCTCGTCTCACTCATTTTTCAAGTCATTGAACGCAATAGAAGTAGTATATTGTGGCTGTTGGTATTTTGCCCTGCTAACAGGCCATCGAGTGGTCCTTTGTTCTGTCTGCTGATATACTATTGTGTCGTATATTGGAAGAACAATCGCAGACAGAAGAGACACAGACAGACAGAACGAGAGAGAAAGCGAGCAAACAAGGGAGCGAATAAGCTAGAAGAGAAAAGTGCATACCAGAATATACATATTGGCATGTCTGAGATGTCTGTCGGATAAAACGACAGTTATATTCAAAGACTAAAGTAAGTTGAATGTCACATCAAGCAAACCGATAAAAAAATAGTCAAAAAACAAAAAAGTTTTCTCATGCATAATCGATGTCGTTTTTTGATTGCATTTTTTTTACATCTACAAATGAGTAGAAAAAGAAAAATTGAGAATATTTTGTCAACTTCAACAACTTTTACTTTTCTTTCTCCTGTGAATCGTTTTATTTTCTTGCTCTAAGCGAACAAGGAATCATGAAGCTTGATTAAAACGCAGGCGTATATTTTCATATTGACAACTATATGTGTTTGTATCTAACTTAATACATTTGATTTTCATATTAAAGAATGTTTTGGTGTTTTTTTTTTTACTCCGGATCTTTTTTTTTGTTGTATTCAGGAAATAACAGAAAATAGCACGAGATAAGATGTAAGAGATTTTGCGCATTCAAAGAGCATCGTCTAAAATTGATGTAATGAAATTTTGCCTATATCATCATTATTTTTTTCTGTCCGATGAACTCATTCTGTTGCCTGCTCTTTACTGTTTTTCTCTTCTCTTTGTCTCTCTTCTTCACTCTGCATATTCAAGTTTTTTTGTAGTTATTCTTTCATCTCATAAAAAGAGAACACAACAACATACAAGTCAATTTTGACTATTATTCTCCCTATATATATATATATATATATCTCGATTACTACTTTGACTGATAGTGAACATTCTTCTTTGCCACCAGCTAACATAAGAAAAAATATAATTTTTCGTGGTTGTTACAGGTCTTAAAGCTATACTCCAACAATGACAAGTTCGAATAAAGTTCGTCGTTATCTGCAGCATCATAAGCTTAATTCTGCAGATTCCAATAATTGTCAAGAGTCTGTCGCACAATTGTTAGTTGCCGATTCAACGTCGTTGACAGCTACGATGCGCAAATTTAAAGGCAAAACTCAACAACAGTCATCAACAACAAGAATATTAATCCCACAAATTTGTGTTGATAACAATGATGATGACGATGTTTATGATGATGATCGGCATGTTGCTATACTCAATGATTTTGATCAAGTTCTAGATAATGAATTAAAACGTGCGACTGTTTTACGTACATTATCACTTAAACAAAAGGAATCAACACAACATATAGAAATGCCTATTAATCAACAACGAAGTTATTCATTTGCACTTGGTTCAAAAAGCAATTTACACGGTGAAAACGATAATAATAATGATGATGATGACGACGAATCTATGAATATAAGACAATCCAAAGCAGTGAAACAGCGAGCTAATTCTAAGTCAAGTTTGTCAAAAGAGACATTTTCACGTTTATTTCAGTCTCTTACATTTCGGACAGGGAGTCAATTAACGTCAAAAATATCCATTACAAAAACGGATTCTCAAAATCAGCAACATTCATGTCTAGCTTGTCAAAACTATCAAACTCTTGATTTAATACCTAAAAATAGAAAACGTCCATCTATATTTGGTGTTCTCGTTTCAAAACTTAATACATCAACAAACACATTCGGAAATTCTATGAAACGTTGTTCCGTATGTAAAAGACCATTATCAAAATCAATTTCAAATAATGATGCTAATCAGCAATTATCATTATCAAAAACGCCTCATGATCACAAGCCATTATTTTCACTTACTGAACGCCGTCAAAGTTTACCATCATTATTACATAATCTCTTGGAACCATCATCATCTGCACAACATCGTCCATCAATTTCAACCGTATTAAATCATATTTTAGTCGATAATGTCAATCATGAACAACAACAATCATCAACATTATCTCAATCATCTACTTCATTAACAGAATCAGATGATAGCAGTGATCATCATAATATGAATAATAATAATAATAATAATAATAATAATAATAATAATGACTCATTTCAACAACGACAACACTTCAATTACGACGATCCATTTCAACTGACTGAAAAAGTAAGTAGACCGACTCAGATGAGCTTATCCTTAGTCAAGAAAATTGTTTGTCTAAATGCGGCACGCGTGCTGTCAACAAAACTACGTATTTACATATAGTATATATACAGAGTGAAGGTCAAGTGTTAATACTGCTCATTTCAATAAAACAAAAGAGAGAGAGAGAGAGAGAGAGAAAGCTTATTATTGCTTGACCCTGATACATCTATATCTATACATCGATACTCTGCCGTCGAGACGGTAATAATGATCAGTAGTATCGACGGTATTGATTTGTTATTGTTACTACTGTAGAGACGATCGTCTACGATTAGTTCTGGTGAGAATAGGAACAATGATGGCAATGACATTTTCAGAGTATAATTATATAGCTAAAACATAGTCAATACTGATGGTCAAGCCAGACAGAATGAATGAGTAAATGAGTTTGAGTATGCTTTCTTTTTATCACGGCCATGTCAGACATTGCATCGTATTACACACGCACATTTATAAATACATATGAGAATCACATCAGTGATAGTTACTGACCTTTTCTTCGTTTTTTTTTGCCTATTCCTTTGCTTTGTATGTCTGAATGGCATGAACCGTCTGTCGACTTCTCTTGATGATGATTACCTTCAATTATGCAGCCTTGTTCTGTCATATCACATCAAGAATGTTTGACTTACTGCTGTCAAAGAGACTAATCGTCATGGTAATAGTGATACTACTTGACCATCACGAGCGCCCTTTCTTTCGCCATTGAGACGATCGATTTGAAGATGCTTGTTAAAACACCTTTTCATTTTTTAAAAGTTAATAAGAAACAAAAAATTTTCTATATGAAAGATATGCAAATTGAACTTTAATGTGTAATCTATTCAATAGACGAAATAAAATTTAAAAAATAAATACTCAAACACTTCAATAACGATCATTTTCTTCGACCGCTTGTGATTTGTCTCCTCTTTTCGTGAATGCGCTTGTTGTGTGACGAGAACCAATTTTACATGCCGACCATCATATGGCACGTCCGTCATTGGTATGGACGCCCTAATTCAATCTTAACGTAGTCTGCACGCATGCGCATGTTTAAACAGCAGAAACGAAAAGCAAACAGCATCAATTTTTAATTCATGTGCTACTCGTTTGCTAAAATAAAGAACTGCTTCATTAAGCACATGTCTGTTGATTTGTTAATATCGGCGTTTCATTTCTTTTCTTTTTCTTTTTTCTCCTTCTCGTTTAATTGGCAATAGGAAATGTCTGTCACCTAACCTTGCTTTTCTTATTAGATCATCGTAAAGATGAAATATGAGTATTTATTTTATACTGTTCTCGATTTTATTAAATAAAGACAGAATCCTTGATTAAAATGAAAAGAAAAGAAGAAAAAAAATACTTAGACGCTATATTCATTGTTATTTTAATTAAATCCAAGGCGATGAAATATAAACAATAATAGTAAAACTAAAGTCTCGTGAGAGAGAGTGAGAGACAGTGAGAGAGAAAAAAAGATGAAGACTTCTTATTATAATAAAATACTACATGACGAAAAGAAATAGAATTTGAAAATGCATGTCTTGCATTTCTATGTTAATGAGAAAAGAAAGCACAAAATTTTTTTTATATGGATCAATTTTAGTCTGGCAATAAAGATGAAAATGACAATGAACTCACGTTGGATCATGGTGAGTACCTTTTAGAATGATGTGAAAGAATTTTTATTAAATCTCTTTTTCTCTTTAAAAATCAAAATTATTTCAGGTGAACTACATGATTTATGTATTATGAATAGTAACGAGTCAACCAATGAACATGTTACCAACCAACACTTTTTACATCCACCCGAGTAAGTTGTTGTCTTTTAGAAATAAGATAGAGATAAATATCATTTTTTAAATAGTAACATATGATTTCGGATTATATATATACATATTTTTTTTGTTCGTCATAATTCAACAATAAACGATGAGGACATTTTGATATAAAGGCAATGCCCTTTATCGAAAATAATTTTATCTCACAGATGTAACAACAAAAATTTCTAGAATATTTTTCATTATTCTTAACTAATGAATAACTTATATTGCGCATACATAGAACTATCAAATGTAATTGAAATTGTAATTGTTTACATGTCGACATGGATATGATTGTGATAACGGATATAAAAGGAATTCATCGTCTAATTAATCTTGCGTTTTTTCCTATAAATTCTCGTTGTTCACATCGATACTAAGTAAATAAACTTCACTATTTGTACAGCGATTGTTCACACCTCATATCATCTGATAGAGATAGTGACAAGAAAACATAGAGAAAGAGAAAGAGAGAGAGAAGAAGAGGGACGGAGATGAATAAAACAAATGTAGGCTAAACAATCACTAGGTGATTTTCAATTTGTTAACAAAATAAAGAAAGTCATCATTTGATGTATCGAATTTAATCTATTTTAATATATATATGACTGATTTAAGAAAACCAAGGTTTGAATAATAATGAAAATTAATTTAATTTTATAAATAAAAAAAATAAAATTCTAATCTATATTATTTCTCTAGAGAAAAATCTCGTAGTCTACTAGTTAATGTTTTTCGTACACGTCGATCAAATGTTATTTTGGATTCAAATGATGTATGAAATATTGTTTTCTTTTGGCTTATTTTAATTCATGTTTTTTGGTTTTTATTTTATTAGACTAATGTCGTTGGTAAACAATTAAGTGCTTCAGTTATTAATCTTGCTACATCAATGGGCATACATCGAAGAAATAGTGCAATACCGACTATACAAGAATCAACGCCTGATCAGCGAAAACATGCCGTATCAGAAGAAAATTTACTAGCAATCGTATGTATGCTATTAATTAGGAGACTTTGTTTTTTTTTATTTTGTCAATATAAAAAACCTTCGGTTTAATTGGCTTTTATACGGAGAAGAGTTTATTTATTTGTAAATGAATGTTTACTGACAAGGACGTATGTTATCGATGTGATGCCGATTAGATAGAATAAACTTTTTATTGAAAGAAATTCGGATTTGAATTATTGTGTAGACGACTAACAATGTTAATTGAATATAGTCGATATGTAAAGAAAAAAAAACGCCGGCCTTGATGATAATTGTCTGAGCTATTATTTTATTCTCTATTCTTGTTTTAGGATAATACATATATTTATTTTAATAATATTAATGGGCAAAATTTTAAAGAAAAATTAAAATATTCAACTATATCCGAAGATACAACTCTACGGTAACAATAAACGAGCTTATAAAATAACTTCTCTAATTCATCGTTTGTAGTGAAATGTTAATAAAACTATTCGAAAAATACCATCTTTCGCTTGATACGTACAATATTTGCTTGCGAAGTGCACCCACTTTACCATTGTCCATGGATCAACCAGTTAAACATCTTTTATTGGATGATCTTGTTGTAACAGGTATTAAAAACAAAAAGCTTGCTTATGTAATTTTCTTCCTCTAATTATCCATAAAATCTTTTTTTTTGTCTTGTCTTTCAACAAAAAAAGAAGTCACGTGACAGTTTCTTTCTTTGCAATGCTTATGTATATATGTATATACAATGATGCAACATATGGAGTTATCTTGATATGTCATCACTGATGTTCAAAGTTAAACTAGTTTTGTAGAAGAAAATTAGAAACACAAAAAGAAAATAAGAAAGAACAAAGAATCTTATCGAAAATGACAATATCATTTGATGAGATCGATTGATGAGATTTAGTTTGTCAGTCATCCATAGAAAATATTCTATTCAAGGCAAAGCCAAAAAACTAAATTTATCAATACTGTTGTTATTGTCCTACATAGTTCTTGCATAATTCTCCGTCTCTCGCTCGCTCTCTGTCTCTATCTCTCTGCGTTTCTTATCTTCCTTCTGCGACTAGCATTTGTTGCTTCTTGTCTTCATTCGGTGCTCATTGAAAAGAAAAACATCGCCATTCGGAGAAGTCATTTTGTAAAAAAACAAAAACTATGAACCATGCAGATACTTCACAAGTTCGTCGATTATCTTTCTGTCGACAATTATCCGATGTATTAAAATTTAAACGTAGATCATTAGGTTCAAATAGTAAATATCCTATGTTGCCATCATCAAAAACAACGTCACGTTTACCAGTGTCATCATCGACATTTTCCTGGAATTGTACATTAGTTGAAGATGATTCTTCAGCAAAAGAAGCTTTTAAAATTTTATCAACGAATTTGATTACAAGAAGAATTTCAATCGATATTCATTGTTTAGCGAAAGAAAAAGTTATCAGTTATGATGATCTAGTTTTTGTAGCGTCAAATGAAGACGAACAAACAATGGATGATAAACCGGAAGAAAATGGTCTCTATCTCTTTTTTTCTCTTTTTTTCCCAACTTTTTATGCTTCAAAACGACAAAAGACAAAAAATATATTGAAATTTTTCTGTTCTCTTCTATTTAGAAACAACAAATCGACTATCGACTAAAACATCGATTGGAAAAGAAAGAACTGAAAAAAGAAATTCAATTGGCTCAGCAATCTTATCATTAGTAAGTTATCCGAACTATTTAGGTCCATTGACTAATAGAGTAAATTAGGCAATGTATACATTTACATAAATATATTACTCGTAAGTATTAGATAAACACTTGACAGCCGTTAATAGACAATCAAGGAATAAGACAAACACCTGTTTGTCATCGTCGAAATCAAGGAAAAGAAGGAAAAACATATTAATCGGTGTATATGATCGATATCATATTGTTAGTTTCCTTTTTCTTTATAGTACGGATGAGATGAAAAAACAAAGAAAAACGTGACCTTCTTATCATGGTTTATAGACATGGTTACAGACATATCACAAGCGACTTTTTTCTATCTCTCTCGCTCTCTCACAGCTTTTCTCATTAATTGGTTCCGATTTTGGATTATCGTCATTAATAGATGAGTAGAATATTTGTTGCGCATATTCTTATAGTAGGCACAATTTTGTTATATCATATATTTTCATATATCTTGAATTCCGAAGATTAGCTTCATTTACTGTAAAAAACTCCCATAGACTCCTGGAAATACGCTGCGTCTACCAATTACTATTTGTTATTTGTTAAATTTAATATCATTAAGTGCGAATCTAGTCAACACGCATGAGATGGAACAATTGAAGAGAAAAATAAATACATTATTATATTACATTTCTTTATTTTTAATTCTTCTTGTTACTTAGAATTCCAAGTCTCTATCGAAACGTTTATCAAGTCACTGTATGATGTTAGAAAGTGATGAAACTCATGACTCTAAATCAATAAATCAATCTAGTCGAACAAATAAAACCAATCGTTCAAGTATATTTACTAGCAGTATATTTACTCGGGTAAAAACAAAGTTAATCCTCTATGGTTAATTAATAGACTTTTGACTCGTTTCTTGTTTTAGGATGTGAATGATTCGACAGAACGTCCAGAAAGTAATCTTTCATTTATTCGTCGTAAATGTGATGAATGGTTAATACATGGTTTACCAAAATTAGCTCAATTGCAATTTTCAATCAATGAATGTAATTTAATTATTGACAAAGAATGGCAACCATTTTTAAACGAGCAATCTCGAGCAGTAAAATTTATTTTTATACAATATCAAATTGACTTGATTCAATTTCTTTTTAGCTTCTATCTGAAACAATAAAACTTCAACAGGAAGCAATCTATGAAATGCTTTCGACTGAAGTTTCCTATATTCGTCAAATATTAACAATGACTGATATATTTATGACAAGTATTAACATATTAAAATCATCTCAACGTGATGGAATTTTCAATGATATTGATATGGATAAATTATTTTCAAATATTAAAGATGTACTAGATGGAAATTTATTATTTTGGAAAGAAATTTTATTACCGATGAGAGTTAAACTTCAACAAACGGGTTTACCGATGGATCCATCGGATTTAAAAGATGGATTTATGAAGGTAATTTAAGTACATTTTTCTTTTTGTTTAAAAAAAAACGTTTTTTTTCTTTAGTTTGATATTTATTTTAAACCTTATCTTCATTATGTTCTTGATCAAAAAGCAAGCGCAGAATATTTTAAACAGAAATTTTCTCGTGATGACTTATTTCAACATTTAATTACTGTAAGAAAATATAATAAAACAAATTGTGAATTTCATGTTTCTATTTTTTTGCTTTTAGTGGATTGAAGCTAATTTTACTAATCGATTATCATTTTCCGATCTAACAATTAAACCATTACAAAGACTTACACGATATAAATTATTACTTGAAGCTATACAAAAGAAAACGCAAGAAACTCGACAAAGAAATGATCTACTGGAAATGGTAAATAGAAAAACAAATTTCGCATGATCTTAGAATCAATGCACCCGCGTTTTGATTGAGTCGTAAATAGACGAAGAAAAATAACGGAAGTTCTATTTGGAATATTTAGTTTCAATTTCCTAGTAAATTTAATAGAAGAAAGCTAGCCAAGATTTGAGTTCGAATGCGAAAACAAAGTAGACTATCGTCTAGGAAATATTATAAGTGTCTACTCATAGTCGGATAATCAAGCGAAATAGATATTGAATAGAAAAATTATGAGACATTATTCCCAAGCTATTTACTTCGCTGATCTTTTTATACACGAATAAATTAGATTAGATAAAATTCTAATTAATATACTGATCTTATCAAGATTTAGTTTTTTTCTGAAGCGTCTCAATTTTCTCAGCGAATCTTGATCGGAAACTTCATCAACGTGAAGCTCTCGTTTATAAATAAAATTTCATCGTCTTTTTTTACATGGAATCTTTTGTGAAAATATAGTCCCGAGAGTGATCCATCAATTTCAATTGACTTCAGGTCTATTCATAGAGTTCAATGAAGCGATCGCTATAACATCACAAATGTACTTTGATATGCATATTCGTTTAAAATATGAATACACTCTTTAGCTATAGCTATAATATTTTAATAATATGGTGTACGTTTATCTATTAAGAATATATTTTCTAGTGGAGATCAAGCTAGCGTCACAAAGTCAGTATTTATAGAGCAACTCGTGATACTATCACGTAAAAATTCTCATGAAAATTGATACTCACACTTGGGGATCTTTTCTATCGATACTATTTTTCATAATATTCATAGAACACCCAGTGACAGATATTCGGTGATTTCAATCAAACTATTGTGCTACAAAATCCAATCCGCAATTTGATTGATAATTTTGATTTTAATCGACCGGCATTGACCCCAAATTTAATGCTATTGCTAGCCCAGTGGAAATTAGTTTGATTGAAATCGGATTGTTTTCCAGTAAAATCCACATTGTCAATCGACTGATAATTTCGAATTGTGCTACAGAACAATCAGATTTTAATCAAACTAATTTCCACTGGGCTAGCAGTAACATCACGTTTGGGTTCAATGGCGATCGATTATAATCAAAATTATCAATCCGATTGTGAATTGGATTTTGTTGCACAATAATTTGATTGAAATCAGCGAATATTTTTCACTGGGGCAGCATCGTTGTTTTCGAACATCTATATCGGGGATGAAATTTCCAAAAATAATGAAATCTTATCTATCCGTTTGTTTTACTCAAGTGGATGTCGTGAGTTAAAGGCAATTTTATTGAATAGTAATTTTTTTTTATTTTTTATTTGTTAACCCCCCCCCCCCCCCCCCAAAGAAAGGTCGATATGAAAATGGATTAGAAGCCCCAGGGCTTGTATTATGGATGGGGCAGGCGGAGTTTACTTGTCTTCGGCATGTTTGAACATTATTTCTTCGTCGATAAATTAATATTTTAAAAGCAATTTTTGTTTTCGTTTTTACTATAAATTGTATTTATTTAGATTCAAAAAGTTGCCACATTTGTAAATCGTGTTAATTCAAAATTACATAATCAAGAACAAGAAGAACGTGTTCGTCAGATCAATGATCATATAGGACCATATGAAAATGTAATAGCACCACCTGAACTGACTTCTGTAAGTATTTTTATTTAGTATTTTTGTGAAACATTTTCAATTCTTTTCTATTTAAAAGATTCTTCAAGAATACAATCGTGATTCAATGTCAAATCGATTAAATCTTCTTGAAGATATGCCGTTACATGTTCGAGGTTATCGCCGTCAAATTATTCAACAAGGTCCCATGAAAATGAAAGATGCAAAAAATAGTCAAGATGTTTATTGTTATCTTTTTTCCGATATGTTTCTTATTACAAAGTGTGGAAAACGAAGTGGTTCAACAGCTACATCTCTATCATCAATGACAAACGATGCACAATCGAACCGTGGAACATCAAATCTATCAAATAAAATTCTGAAGTTACCTATTCGCATTGATCGTATCAATGTTCGAGAATATGATCGACGTGGTGGAAGTAGTAACAGTAATACAGAACCGAGCATTGTAAGTAATATCTGCTACTGTTGACTTATACGCTTTATTTTTTATATCTCATTCAAGAATCGATTATAGTTTTTCACCTTATCGTAGAGGATCGAAATAGTAGGCGGTAATTTATGTTCCCTGATAAACTAAGTGAAGTTTTATATGCATGAAGCCTTTACTTGTCTAGTAAACAGATAAAAATCATCATCTAATAATTGATAACCTTTGACTTATGTGTTATAGATGGCCATCGCGGTTGCAGAAGCGTGACCATGGACATCTGTGGCGGAACAAATTCTGTGCTAATTTTTTTTGTGCTAATATTTCACTAGATTCAAACAGTAGCAGAGCCGTCAGAAAGAACGTTTTTAGAAATTTGACTATTAGCATTATAGACTAGATAATTTGCTATGTTTTCACTATCAAGTCATGAAAACATGTAATTACTATTAGTTATTCATTATGACACACACTTTTTTTCTTTTTTAAATTAATTCTTTTTTTCTTTTTGACTTCTTTTAAGGCATCATTTGTCGCAATAGTCTTTTCCGAATATAATTTAATTGAAAGTGCCTATTTATTTCAAACAAATTTAAGTAAACAATGGATAGACAATATCCGTCGAACAAAAACAAATTTTAATCTATTAATGGAAGAATCAAAAATCAAATATCAAACTATACATCATCCAGTATCACCACCATGTTGTACAGTATCAACAAATACCATACATCAATCTCTTCCAAGTCTTTCGTTACCATTAATGGAATTATCTCCGCTGACCGTTAATGAAACAAGTTCTTTGAAAGATGATGCTCGACGTCTATCAAAAGTTGAATCGAATGTATTTAAAATCGTCGAACAAACACGACGAAATTCTCGTACTGATCGTAAAAATTTCGGTCGATATTTTACAGCCGATGGTTCGAGTACACATGGGTCTAACTCATCCTCGCCACCCATAAAACAACTTTTATCATCTTCAACAACAATTATTAAACGTATGTCATGGAATAATGATCAAGCAATGGAAAAAAATGATTCATCATTAATCACAAATTCATTTCGAAGTGTACATAGTTCAAGTGGTGTTAGTTCAACAGGATCATTTTTATTTAGTACCGATGAAGATTCTTCTATAACAACAACAACAACATCATCATCGATACCTTCGATGGTTCCATCAATTAAAAATGATGAATTCGATGAGAAAAGTTTAGCATCAACTGTTATTGAAACAGATGATCAATTAGTACGAACTTTATCGATTCCACAATCAGATTTGATTTCTGAAGATTTAATTAAAAGTAATCTCGAAGATAAAAATAATCAACAACTTATTTCTCAAATATCACCATCAAGTACAAGTACATTGATATCAAATAGTCAAACAATGATTGGTAAGATAAAATTTCATTTTCTAGAAGCTAAGACTTGCTTAGAACATATAAATAGCATGCATTTAGATGAACGTTTTGTTAAAACATAAAATTGTACGATATGTCTTAATTTTTAGAATCAACATCATCAATCAACAATGAAATGCCATCACCTGAATCTTCACTTCGTCGAATACCGTATCCAAGTGTAAGAAAACGAAATCAAATTCTTTATCGTTCCACTCCGCATCAACAAGAATGTCTTCAAAATAGAATATCTATTGATAATGATATACATTCAATAAAATCTAATGATGATAATACAACAACAATTCGAACGAATCATTCTTCTATCGATAATTCATCATTGGTTAGTAGTGGAAACGAAAGTGATTATGATAATAATCAATGTACAGCTATTAAACTACCGGTGAATGATATTTCTCATTCTAATGAATTAACACGTACAAATGAAACTACTCAACAAGACAACAATGAACAGTCAGATACAATTAAAATAACATCAAAAGATACTTTGCATAGAGCTAACAAAACAATATCAATTAATCCAACAGCAGCAGCAACATTAGATGATAGTGCACCAACAAATTTTCCATCACTTCTCAAAGATCCCATTGGCACTCGACGATTACTTGATATTCGAAGTCATTTATTATTGAATACAACACTTGATGCAACGTAAGTCTTTCCCTATTGATATGATTAATAATATCTCTTGTTTTCTTTCTTTAGGGAAGTATAGCAATTTAATGGTTGATTCATTTTTTTTCGTTTCTTTTCTTCTTTCTATATATTTTTTCGTTTGTTTTCATTGTAAAAAGTTTTTTGCTTGTGTGTGACAAACAAATAAAACAGAACAGATTCTTTTGTATTAAACTTCTTCCTCCTATTTTATTACTGACATACAATGTAAAATTTTTAGTATCTGCACATCTTTGTGTCAATGAATCTGAACTAGGGAGATACAAAAGCACTTTTTTTGTCTTGCTAAATAGTTTCCTGAGCTCCCTGCTTTTTGATTCAGAAAAAAAGTTTCTCAGATATCACGATTTGATAGAAGATCTAAATGAATGAACTTGAATGGGTGTTTTCTTAAATCTAGAGCTATCATCAACGTTATCATCAGGGTCGATTTACAGATTTCTACTCAGAACAGAATAATAATTATGAAACTAAAAATTTTTGATAAAAAAAGTATACTGTGACCTAGACATGCACCAAACCCAAACTGTTTGGGTTTGGGTTTGTTCCAATGAGTTTGAGTTTGAGTTTGGGTTCGGGTATTTAGTTGAAGTGCGAGAAAGCCTTTGCTGTCATTCAATATTCAAATATGACAATACAACTTTGTAGCCTAGTCCAAGTTAGCATAAGCAAAGGTATATAAAGTTCAATTAAAATTTCACTGACTTCGGCAAATACTTTTGTAATGATCTAAGTACGTGATAGATTATTGCAAACGTTTTGACAGTATATACTAATATCTTATTCCCTCTACTGAAAGGAGGGTCTTACGAAAAATGAGTTAAATGCGTTCGTTCGTCCAATAAGGAAGCAGATGCATAAACTTAATTAACCTCTAACAATATCTGTAGGGATAGGTTTGACCGAAGGTACTCGGGATCGGGGGACACGATGGCGTTGTCAGATTTTTGAAATTTTGTTTTGCGTTTTTTAGGAGAGAGGAAGAGTTTTTTTTAGAAAAAACTAGTTTTTGTAAGGGTTGACCGAACGTAATCGGGGTCGAAGAAATCTAATCTGGTGTCAGATTTTCAGAATTTATGATCCTCAACTTTTTCAGTGAAAAAGTATTTTTTCGAGGAAATAGTTTTCCTTGTAAAGTTTGATCAGATGCTGTCGGACTCGAGCCAGTCGAATCGGAGGTCACATTTTTGAAGTTTCGCTTTCAACCTTTTTTAGAGAGAGAAAGAGAGTTTTTTAGGAAAAAATGACTTTGTTTAACGTTTGACCGAAGGTTTTTGAGGCGGAGTCATTCGATTTGAAGTGTAGTTTTTCAAAAACATTTTGTCATCGTTTTGATAAACAGAGAGGTTTGCACAGAGGTCTATTACACAGAATGAACACATGAGCTGTTTGAAAAAGTAAAACTAACTGACCAACAACTGACGAGTGAGTGGTATTTCGAAAGCGTTTAGGAGTACCACAACGACGTTATTAGTGGTTATGATCCTAAACAAATAAATAAAGTTGATTCAAATAAGGTAGCAGCTGTCGCTGGATCGAATATTAAATGCTTAATAATCGCTCATAGTTCAAGCAAGTTTATAATGCATTAGGAGCTGTTTAGATTATCGTATTTTCGTGATAGGAATTCTTTGTCGGCAAACTTTTTAAGGGTATCATTTGATGATGTTGACAGTGGTATATATATATATATCGTATGCTTATATTGGATTTTATTACGAATCGGCTATAGGCATCTTGCGGTGGAATTGATTTTTAATTTGGCAACGGCTGTCATTTTGCACNAAAACCGGCGGTTTACCGCGGTAAATGTCGGATTATTTTTTGCGGTAAACCGCGGTATTTATCCGTTCTGCGGTAATGGGAGCCGGTAACCGGATCGGTAAAACCGCGGTTAACCGCCGATTTTCATGCGGTTTTTATTACATGGGTTCATTGAATTTTAAGGTTTCTGAAAACCCTTTGCAAACCTCTCCTGGTCTTCGAAAGACAATATTTCATACCAGTTTTCAATGCTGATTTAGGATCCGTTGAGATCATTTTGATATCTCATACCGTTCTCATTTTAGTCCCAGAATTTGAAAATTATATTTTATCCTATGAAGTCATTTTCAACGTTATTTTTATCTCAAAAAATTGTTGGAAAACCTCTTCAGATGATCCAAACAATATATCCTATATCATTTTTTGATACTGAATTAGAATCCGTTGAGATCATTTTGATATATATTGAACTATTTTTATTCAGTGCGTGAATTTAATAGATGAATTTTTCACTATAGAGAATGCATAGTCTTAGTCTTGTTTTTTTTTCTTGCAAGCAGCCCTATAAATAGTTTGTGATTTCTTTGAATATTTGTAATCATATATTACTTTTTAGTAAACATGATGAGCATGTTTAGATGATTGATATTATTCATGGTCACGTAGTGTGTTGCGATCAGTTTTATTAAGTGGAACACTGTAATTTTTTCAAGTTTTTATTGATGAAATATATCGTCTAATATTCCCTCTACTGAAAGGAGGGTATTACGAAAAATGAGTTAAATGCGTTCGTTCGTAAGTTCGTTCGTCCAATAGCAAAGCAGATGCATAAACTTCACTAACCTCAAACAATATCTGTAGAGATAGGTTTCACCGAAGGTAATCGGGGGTCGGGGAACACGATGGCGTTGTCAGATTTTGCTTTTTACTTTTTTTAGGAGAGAGAGAGACTTTTTTAGGAAAAAAATAGTTTCTTATAAGGGTTGACCGAAGGTAATCGGGGGTTGGGGAACAGGATGGCGTTGTCAGATTGTTGAAATTTTGTACTTCAAACAAGTTTGTAATGGGTTAGGAGCTCTTTAGATCGTCGCATTTTCTTGATAGGAATGCTTTGTAGGGAAATTTTTTGAGGATACCATTCGATGATGTTTACAGTGTTAGATGTATCTTATGGTTATGTGAGATATTATTACGAATAGGCTATAGGTATCGTGTGGTTGAATTGATTCTCAATTTGGGAGCGGCAAGCCGTGAGTGGCGCTCCGGAGGGGCACCGACGAACGACTCGCCGCTCACCTGCACTGAGAGTTTGAAAGCTTTTTTCAAAATCTTCAGTTTATTCTTGATATGCCAACTTTTATTGCATCACGAAGAATTTATTCAAACTTAACTCCTAGAATTCTAGATTAGCGCATCTACGAACGGACGCAAACTGATAAGTACTCGGGAATCATGTCTCATTCTTCTATAAATTGTGATGAATTTATCGCACATGTAGATGCAACTGAATTGAATTAACCCCACAACTGTCGTTTTCGTTTTTTTTTGAAAATTCTCTTCGTTTTTATCTAATAATTATAGATTGAGGTAAATCTTTTCAATCAATAATGCAGTGTTTAAAAGGATCACGTTCAACGCATATATGAGACAAAGCAAATGGAGGCGGCTAGTCGTGAGTGGCGTCCCTCTGGGGCACCGACGAATGACTAGCCGCCCCCACTAATTGAAAATCTGTTGTTATTATAGGGCTACTTGCCTTGCAGACTTATAGAACAGTTACACGTTGTCTCGATCAGAAAAGTTGAAACAACTTTCGAAAATAGGACATATTTTGAATTTCTTTCGACGACAGGTCGTGAAATAATTGCTCAGCTCATGTGAAATATTTGAAATTCATATTTGTCGTGATTATCTTAATAAGTTTAGTTTTTCCCGATTGCGAGTGGGTTTGATTCAAAAGATGTAAATCTCAGATTTATCTATGTGTGAACGTGCACTCAAGAATGAATATATCCATTATAGACGGGAAACGCACCGAAACA